TGACCAATGAACTGGAGGAGTCAGCTTTTTCCTAAATTTTATTCATAGTAAACATTTTTATTGTGTACTTTTAATTTCTAGTTTTATTTTAGATATTTTCATTTTGAAATCCCTATGAATGCTTATAGAGTATGCTCTAGGAGATTAATGTGATGAAATGCTCTATAAATTATTAAAATAGAAAAGCAATAGAATAAAACAAAATCTCAAACTCTGGTGAGTTTGTGGTGTTTTCAGAAGTTGCTGAGGGCACCCCATGTGGTCCATGAGGGCCCCTTGGTGCTTGCGGGTACCACGTTTGTGAACCCTCTTATAGAGCAAAAGGCAGAAAAAAAATGGATTTCTTTCCAAAATATATTTCTATTGATAATAATTTGACTTGCCATCACTAAAACTAAGTTAGTCAGCTTTCTGTTTTTCAGTTGATGTATAATTCAGCTCATTATCATTAATTTCTCCGACCACCAAGTCCCCATTTAAGGTAAACAACCCTCCATCTTCCTACACACACGCCTCAGAAGCCTGTGTGAAATGGAAGTCAGGTCATCCAGTCAGTTACTCAACCCTGGGGGTCCTGTGGTATTAATCAGTTGAGTTTCTGCTGAAAAGCTCAATCTGCAGATGATGGATGAGCCATCATGCTGAGGGAATGGAAATGACAGGTGACAAAGAAGGACACACACACCTGTATAAATTGACTATTCCTCCTGTCTGGCCCTGATGCTACACTGTCAAGGTAGCAGTGTGTAAGTGTATGTATATGCATGTGGGTGGGTGTGTGTATGTGTGTGTTTGGCTGGGATGGGTGTGCACATTTGTGTGCAAAGGATTGAATGTCTCAGCATGTGTCCGGCTGAGCTAATGAAGTCATCTGAACTGTGATTTAACAGCCCTGGTTTAAAAGCCCGGCGCCCTTAACTCATAGCCTTGCTCCATTAGAATGTGACATAAAACCTGGGCACAATAACTGTCCTGCCACTATGACAATATATGGGGGGGGCAGTGGGCCACTCTGCTAACTCACAAAAGCTGGAGAGGAAAAAATAACATCATCTGTGTAAAAAAAAAAAAAAAAAAGATACGTCATTCAAGGACACTCAAACTTTTAAGATGCAAAAAATAATGTAGATCCTGGAGGATCATAATGATTGATTCTACTTTATTCAACTCAAACATTTTATATCTTATCTTAACCTTTACAGTTAATACAATCGTACAGATGAAACTCAAGATATTTGTTTATCAGGAAAATTCTTAGTTATAAAACCACTTTCTTCACTGCAAAAACAATCCAGAAATAAGTAAAAAATGGCTTAGATTAAGTATATTTAGCCTTAATTTGAGCAGGTAAATAAGATGATCTGCCAATGGAATGAGTATTTTCACTCTTAAAATAAGATAGTTAGATAATATTTACTTGAAATAAGACGATAAAATAGTTTTTTCTTATTTTAAAAGGAAATTGTCTTGTTCCATTGGCAAAGTGTCTTACTTACCTCCTCAAGTCAAGGAAAAACGCACCTATTTTAAGAAAAAATAACTTATTGAGATTTCTATTTTTTGCAGTGTTCTGTTGACATCAGATTAAAAGATTATTTTTTTTTAGTAAATAAAAATAGTCCCAAAAGATAAAGCTCATTGTATAAATGTATTCAGCTAGCAAGGCAGACTCCAGACCTGACAACCACTCACTAAGCAGCTAAGTTAAGCTACAAAAGAACATTGCTAAAGAAGTTGGCTGTTCAGAATCATGTATGCAGGGATATGGATGGAAAAAGTGAGTACTTGCAAAAGATAGTTTGCAAAAGATCTGTGCTTCAAGAATCACTGCACAGATGTACGAAGGGGGCTGAAACAGACGCAACCTGCCTAATAATCTGCATATCTCTATAAATATAAATGTATTTATGATTGTAATTAAGGCTGAGTGAGTATGGCTTATTGGAAAAAAAAGGTTACAATGACTAAATATCAATACATTTACAGCTTACAGTACATGGTTTAACCAGTTCCACCCCAGAGAGAATCTGTGAAGTAATTTTAAGAGAAAGAAGGAGGACACCAGATTTTACAACGCTTAACACAACCTGGGCGTCTTTAACACTTCTGCATATCCTCCGGTTGATTAGTTTAAATGCCATGAGGCACTGATGCATATATTCACGCTAAAGGGACAATGACAGAGTATTGCATTTGTATATATTGTAAATCACGAGGCACATTTTTAGGCTGGCTGACTTTTTTGTATGAAATAAAATCTTGTTGCTCTCATGCAATATTTCAATATTCTGGGAAGCTTAATCTGAGAATTTTATGCTGTAATGAACTGTAACCACTTTAACTATCATCAATAAACACTCAAAATATTGCATATCACTATGTATTGAACAAATTTTTTCAAGTTTCTCTTTCTAAACTCGATCAAACTAGCTTTTTAGTGTTTTATTGAAATGCACTCGTGTAAGACTTCGTGTATGCTCAGACTTGTACAGAATCAAAGTGGCATAAGACTAATTGTTGTGTTTTTTAAAAACAGCAAAATAAATTTATTTTAATTTTCTTAAAAAAAAAAAAAAAAGAAAATAAAACTCAACGAATGACATATCCATGTCCCTATCTGTGAGTCAGGAACAATAGCTCAAGAGATATTTTTCAGCCACTCATGGATCTATGGAAAGGTTTGACGGATTACATGTCAGCAGTCATGGGAACCAACTTCATGCTTTCTTTGAGTGACTCAGGCAGAACTGAAGCCATTCTCCAAATCCTCCATGAAATCCACTCCTCTGGTTTAACAAACAGAGCTAATGAGGCAAATGACAGCATAAGACACTTTGATACCAGAAGATTAGGGTAAATTATATAACTTGTAACACCCCTCCATCCCTATTACTGTATTCCTCGTATTTTCTTTTAGCTCCTCATCAAAAGTGACTGTCGTCTCTTAACATGTCACTCAATATCTCAAACTGGTTCAATCTTTCTATTGCTCAGACCTTTTGCTATCTTACTTAATATCCACCATATACAGTTTCTATTCATGGATGCCCTAACCCTAATTTGGCTCAGTCAAGCTATGACAGCCTCTATTTTAACATGCAACAAAGCAGCAAGTAAGGAAGGAGAAGAATGGGTTATGCGTATGTGGGAAGATGAGGTAGAGTCATGAAGGCGACAATGCTCCTCACAGCACAGCACAGTAGTGCGTACTTCACCCTTATTAGGCCCGTGTCCTTGGCAGATGCAGAGCTTGCCCTTTGTTAGAAAGGTGTGTGTGTTACAATGGCAGTGATTTAGAATGGATTGGGCGTAGGCGTGGAGACAAGGTGCAGTAGCCCCATAGCTCCCTGATAGCTGGCAGTGTGACAGCTGTGAATGGAGAACAGGGAACAGCCTGAAGTACTGCAATCTAATATGTGTCACATACCTGCATAAATATTTATGTCTGTTGCAGAGCAGGAGGGGAAGAGAGGAATGGGAGGATGGGACAGAAGAGGTGGTCTTAGGTGAAAAACTTCAGTCAGGTGACACTGAGATCTGAGCCAGCCAGTCTTTATCCATCATCCAGCTAATTTTATAGTCCTGACATTTCCTACTATACAATCAGGTATAACACATGCATGTAATCCAATTTACAGTGTCTGAGATATTTAGAAACAAATGGAACAACGATGTAAAAACCTTTATTTGGAGATGAACACAGATGGACACTTGGAATTTAAAAAGTCCAAGTTTTGAATTCTTCTATTGAGTGGGGGAAAAGCCCAAGTTGGGTCAAATCTATATATCCCCAACGCCTACTTTAAAATAAATGTAACTGAAATTCTTCTCTTTACTTATTAGCTTCATTTCAAAAGATGCTTGACAGGAAGCAAAACAGAGAAAAGGGAGAAACAGGCAGTATACTGTAGGGACTCTGGTGAGGTAAAAAACCGAAGGGAGCTGCATCAAGCCCTACAGCCTCCGCCTATGTAGCAGCTGTTTTACCAGGGCACCTTTCTTACTTTTTTTAAGCTTTTTACAGTGTCTAGGAACTAGTAGCTAATAATGTTTTACTTTTTGTTTCCTTAGTTTTTATATATGACATAAAACAAAGGCCCATTTACCTTATCTACTGGCCACAAACCACTCAAAATTACTGTAATAACATCATAATAAACTAGCAAATATGACTCCAACATTCATTGTTGTCAATGGAAACGCTTTGGCTTTTATTGATCAGAAAAAGTTATGAATGAGCAAAAAACTGTTTCAGTGTTTTGTTTTATTCAGTTCAACCAAAACCAAGACAGAGAAGACATACTTTGAAAGCCAAACAACCAAAATAATATATTCAATTCAGGGCACACAGGGCTGAAGTTTACTGATCAGATTCCAGCTTTATAGTGCAAACTTAACCCTGTAATGCCAAATGTATCGTATTTGATACATACGGTTTCTGAAATGTTTTGCATCTGACACCTTTTGCATAATTTAATGGTAAAAATTTTGCTCAAAATCCTATTGTACACAATCAGATATACCTGATAACAGAGGGCAGAAGACTACACAAAAAATAATCTTCACTTATCGCATAGTAATAAGTTATTAATATAAAATATGTATTTCTGTTTTTTCTTTTTACATATTTTGTTAAAAGGCCAAATAAGGAATTCAAACCAAAAAAAGTTATTTTCTGTTTTGTTTTATTCTTGGATCAGGCTTTAAAGGGTTAATGAAGCCTCTGTTTGTGTCGGAGTACGAGCAAAAAAAATCATATTATAAATTTAAGGCACCTATTTGGAGCCGATTTTAAACTGCCTGAATCAGTGATGAATGAAACAGGATCATGGTCTTACCTTTGACCATAAATGAGAATATCATTTCATACAGACAACATGGACATCAGCTGAAATGGTTAATGGAATTTAAGTCTTTTTAGCTCAGACATCTGTATTTAGAGCCCACTTCAAAGATAAAAGCCAAAGAAAGGTGTATATATCTTAAAGAAAGAAACGTACCTGTTGGTTAAAAGGCTTTTGAAGGTGACCTGACTCATGCCCTCGTATGCTGGCAGCAGCCTCAGCCAGTCCCACGTCCAGTCAACCACTTCGCTCTGTTGATGTATGAGGAAAGCGTATTCTTAGTTATTAATCAGGGTTAATACTATCAGTGCATTACTGCTCCAGCTGGGACCCCACTAACAAAGGAGGAGGGGGGGTACTCCTGCGCAGGCCGCGACATTAGACGATCAATCATGTCCACACAAGAAGGTTTTTATTCCAATAAGACAGCAATTAATTTATAAAGCCATTTCGGGGGATGTAGCCATCATTTATAGAAAGATAAATCAATTTTTGGAGTGAGTCGTTACTCTTCATGCTTTTCTTTTTTCCTTCCAATCTTCAGTGGCAAACTGCCAACCCCCACTTTTTTGCCCTGTATATGTTTCTTTTGGGCACTGACAAAAACAGAGATACACATAAACAACCACACTCAGAAATGTGATCACGAGAAGGAAAACAACTCAGACAGCTTTTATTCATCCATGTTCAAGTTTTATTGAGAAATTAAGAAAAACTCCACATCCATCCGTTCTTCTATTCGTCCATCCATCCATCCATCCATCCATGCATCCATCCATCCATCCATCCATCCATCCATCCATCCATCCATCCATCCATCCATCCATCCATCCATCCATCCATCCATTTTAATTCTTCCTCTTGTGGTTGATTGATGGGTGTAACTGGTTTTCTCCTCCTTCCATTTTACTTGACAAACAACACTGGCACCTGAGGCAGCAAAGGCATTTTAATCATTCCCTTAATAGGGTGTTTCTATGCAAAGCTATGCAGCCTCTTGCGATAAGCCTAAAATGGGCCAAGTCTTAAGATTAAAGCATGCCTGGTCTTTAAAAACAAAAGCAATGAGAACAGCTAGGATATAAATAATAGCAGACTTTAAAAATATATTTAGCTGCATGATAACATCTGTTAGGGAAGCACCTCATTAATTGTTTTCTTTGGCTTTAACTGTATTTTTAGAGAGCTAAAACAGAAAAACAACCAATGTTACGTGTAGCTAGGACATATCGCCTTAAATAGGATCATACAGTAAGCTAAATAAAGTGGCTTAAAGAAAAGCTGTTATGCATGTTTTATAATTAAGCCTATATCTTATGTCATTTGCAATGGATTTTATGGAGTGTGTAAATCTGTAGGTCTTTTTTTCAACAAGCTTTTTAGATTTACCGATTGATATTTGGATCATTCCTTTTAGTAAAATAGTTGTAGCTTAGTCGGAATCAATGGTGAGTGTTTTGGTATAGCAATTACATAAGTCTGAACTTTCAAACCACAACAGGACATTATTGCAAATGAAAATTATTTGATATTATCCAGTTCAATATATTTATAAAACACAAATTCATGTCACCTCAAGGCACTTTATAAAGTCAATAAAATAATACAGAGAGATTGATTAAAAAGTGTCTTATAAAAGTAAACCTAGGAGATTGCATCAAGTCACTGAGTTATAACCTTGCCTACAAGCTGAATTCTTCTGTTTTTTTGTCTGTTCACAAACACACGAGAATCCATCTTTTTTCGCTACTGTTTCACCCGTTTAGACCATCCCAAAACAGGTGAGCTAATCACGCAGCAGAATCATGATTCAAGGCAGGACATATAGATGCCTTGCAGTGGATGTCCCAGACGTTCAAATCTAGCGGCGACCATAAAGTCTACTTGCTCTGGTCCCCTGAGCGTAAAAAAATGCCCTCCGTATGCTGTGCAGTCAGGCGCACAGCAAAAAAAATAAATCTAAATAAGTAATTTCTTCTTAAAATAAGTGCATTTTTTCTTGAATTAAGGATTTAAGTGAGACCCTTTGCCAATGGAACAAGACAATTTACACTTAAAATGAGAAAAAACAATTGCATTGTCTTATTTCAAGGGCATTTTATCTAGATACCTTATTTTACAAAAAAAAACTCATTCCATTGGCAAATCATCTTATTTACCTGCTCAAATTAAGGGTAAATACCCTTAATTTAAGACTTTTTTACTCATTTTGAGATAATTTTTGCAGTGTGTGGCAATAAAACAGGTTACCCAAATAATTATTATTGCCGCTTACCTAAAGAGAATGTACGTCATCGGAGTTGGCTGTCAGCGATCAGAATGGCTGACTGGATGGGGGCTGCAGTTAGCCGTCTGTCCAGTGTACATTTCATATCAGGCGAGTGTCAAAACAAGTTAGGAAAGCTAGCTTAGGCTGCTGGATTTAATGTGTTGAACAATTTTTTACGCTTTCCGCCAGAGTATGAGGACAGGTTTTAGTGGTTCGTTTTTTTGACAGAAGGCTGACAGAAAAGGGGTTATGAGAGAGGGGGAGAGACATGCGGGAAAGGACCACAGGCCAGATTCGAACCCTTTGTATGGACTGTGTCAAATAACGCTGATTTTCTCTGTGTGTTGTTTAAGCTCACTGGGATTTAAATGAGAATAATCCATTCTGGTCAGAGGGGAAGCGCCTCAGAGCTAAGCAAAGTGTTTGGATCTCAACATGGAGTTCATAAGGTAGAATGGTTATGACGTCATGCTTTTGAAATGCATCAGTAGATGAAAGGAAGCAATTTCTGCCGAGCCCACAGCTGAAGCAAAATAAACATGGCAGCACAGGAAGACACACGCATATCTGCTGATATAACATCTGTTTTGTCAGAAACCACAATGTTATCTCTAAATCATGAGCAGGGAGGAGGGTGTTAGAAGTTTAAGTTGTGGTTGTTTCTATTGTGCCTGCTGCTAACGACATTTTAATTTGTTGCTGTGATCGTTAAAATTAAATCTCAGTAGGCGGGGACTAGGTGTTGCTTAACCTAATCAGTTTAGAAAGTTCTGCTGAATGTCTCCCCTTTCCCCTAAACAGATTTGACTGAAATAGTCCCAGATTAATGATGTGTGGAACTAAACCAAGAGTTCTACACAGTCAGTCTGGTTTCCCAGGTTAACTGACTTACTGAAGTCTCTCTTCCTGGATGAGCACAGAGGACATTTTCTTACATTGTTTCTTTGACCTGACCTGGCAGCAATTACTCATAGCAAACATGCACATTGCAACAGTGGGGAGGAAAAACTCCCTGTTATTAGATAGAAAAAGAACCAGTCTCACTGTGATTGGTCTTCTGTCAAGGCTGACTGGGGGGTTTAAGACGACAGAACAGGAACAGAAAAGGAAAACAGAACCATGGATCCAGATATTCAATCAATTTTGAAAATGAAGCTTCTCCAATCTCTTGAAGCCTCCAACAGGTTTTCCTGTTGATGCCCCCCCCCCCCCTTATTTTGTAGGTAAAATCACAAAGACCAGAGGCTGAATTGAATGCACTGGGGAGTATCAGAGTAAAGGGGATTGAAAATGTGCTACAATGTAGTTTACATTGTTATCTTTGGAAAATATATAACTTTTCATCCTTTTTAAAGATTTTTTCCAGCTTTAGCTGAAGTGTTTTGTAATAATTTGTTACATTATGCTGATTATGGCATAAAATAATCTCATTACATTGCATCGTAGTCTGTGGGGGTAAAAGGACAAAATGTAGAAAAAGGGGTTTAAAAACGGAAACTGAACATCATGTTGGCACCACTGAGGATGGATTTCCAAATATACTGTAGAACAAATTTCAAAGCTCAAACAAATTGCTCCGTTAGATAGAAATCCACCTTTACTATTTTTATGAAAAGAAAAAAACCTCCATATTTCCAACTTTTTCAGCTTTCTTTTCTTTCTGTCAGCAAAAAGGGCCATGCCAGTAAAAGGCAGCAACCTTTGGGAAATATGAATGAGCTAAAAAGCTCAGAGAGTGCTATAGCTCAATAAGCAATGAACAGATCCTAACCTTCAACATTAAGCATCTGTCCTTGGTTAAAGTTAAATGACTGATGCAATGACAAAGGAGTGAAATGTTGAAGCTGACTTGAATAGTGAAATAATTCATAAAAGAAATAAAGAGAAAAACATATTATGAAGTGTTTTAGTGCTACAAAAAATTATTAAAAAGCTTAAGCTGCCAAACAAACCTGATCCAGCTTCTTCTTGCCAATATGGTCGTACTGCAGGAGCGGGTTGAAGGAGGCAGTGGAATCAACACACTCTGGACTGACATCAAAATTCACTGTGAGAAATGAGGATTCCGAGCTTCCAGTGAGTTTGGACATCAGAAGTTCCTGCATCCAGGATATGAGCCGAAACAACAACACAGAGGAAGGACAAATTATCAATTGACAACACTAGTTAGCCAAAAGAGTCGGTTTGGACATGGACATAAGACACTATTGATATTATAAGTTTTCTGATGGCATTTTAGCAGAAGGGTTTTTATCAAAAATATAATTATTCTGCACAAATAAGTAATAGCTGTAATAACCATACATGTAAAAGGAGTTTCATGGGGCCCCCCAGGAACTTGGGGCCCAAGGCAATTGCCTAGTTTTGCCTAATGTTAAATCAACCCCTGCCATATATAACATAGAGATTATTATTGAAATGTATTTTAATACTTATTAAGTATGGATGGCCAATGAAACAATTCATATTTACATTAATACTCCTCTCAGAAGCATAAACAGTCATAAAAGCCTCAAAGTCATAATTTTTTTCAATTTAACTTCTCCTTAAAACTGATTCCCCTTATTTCTTCAGGTGTCTCAGAAGAAATAGAGTTGACATTGTTGGGAACAGGCTGCCCTGCTGTTTTATGCAAACCAAGACACCAAGTTCAACTTGATAAAGCCTCCAAGGCTTCTACCCCTGCAACTTACGATCTGAACAACACATTTCTATACCAATCAGGTTACTCATTTGAACTCAAAAAATCAACAATGTCCAAGGTAAGATAAGGTGAGGCAATCAACATAACAACACACTGTTTTATGTTTCATGAAACAATCAGGCTAATTTGTACTCCATTTGTTTTATACGTAGAAAATCAGGGAACTAGATGTCAAATTACTTCAGACTGTTTGAGACTGTAAAAAACCTAGTAAAGCTTCAAATTATATAAAACAAGATTACAAAAACTGTATTGTTGAATCCTGTTTATTGGATGGATGGATGGATGGATGGATGGATGGATGGATGGATGGATGGATGGATGGATGGATGGATGGATGGATGGATGGATGGATGGATGGATGGATGGATGGATGGATTGATGGATGGATTTTTTTAATGTGCCATTGAATTTTTACTATGGAAATTTCAATCAGTTTTATTTAGACCATATAAGTACATTTTGCATGTATTATTTTTATTGCTTTCATTTCAAAAATAGTTTTTTTTCCCTATAAACATCATACTTCTTAATCATCCATCTCATGTGACTGAACATCCTGCCCAAAGAGAACCCCCAGATGGTTTGCACTACTGAGGTCACCTGCACATGATGACATCAAAGCATAGAGACTACACACAAGCAGGAACACGTTTTTTTTCACCCCTTCCTGAACAGCCTGCGGCCTCAGGCCAGCAGCCACCTAATTGCTGGGGAGCATAGGCGCTTCCCTACCTCATTGCCTTGGATGATGTGATAGATCTGCCTCAGGTAGAGGCAGCCACCTGCTTTGTGGCAGACCTCCAGCAGCATCAGGCCTATTTTCTGCTCAGTCAGTTCAGCTGCAGCAGCTCCCCTCTCTGCTCCCTGCTCAAAGATGCTAAGAGAGAAACAGAAGAAGACGAGGTGAAGGAAAACAACAAGGACCACTAAAACGTGCAATTTCACACTTCTGAGCTGAGAAAGTATTTTCCAGATAGGTGGAGAATCTGGAAATTTGTGACTTTGGTGTAAAATCCCTATAGTCAGTGTAATTTGACTGACTATAGGGTTGTCTGTATTACTGTTATAAAAGTCTATTCACAAGAGAGAGTTGGAAACTTTAACTCAGTTTTCATCAAATAAGGACAAATAAATACATCCCAAATCTTTTAAACAACTTGGCTTTGTGTCAACTGTTTTAGTGGACCATCTGTTCTATAGAATAACTTAGTGCATCTCCTGTGGCCTACGAAAAAATCTGTATGCAATTCTACAAACACATTTCAACTACAAAACAAAGAAGGGAATATTAAGGAGCAAGGGTGAAAAAAAAATCCCTAAGTTTGCAGAAGATTTAGGAAATGTTGCATGAACATGTGCTATATCCATCCATCTATCTTCTCCTGCTTATTCCATCAGGGTAGTGGTGGCGCTGGTGCCTTTCTCCGGCAGTCTATGGGCCAGTCTATCACAGGGCAAGATAAGAAAAAAAACACACCAACTCACAACTAAGGACAATTTAGAGATGCCAGGTAACCTAACAGTCATGTTTTTGGACTGTGGGAGGAAGCAGGAGTCCCTGGAGAGAACCTATACAGAAACTGGGAGAACATGCAAACTTAATGCAAATGTGGTTTATCTGATAGACCATACAAAGTATTTTTTTAGCCATGACATGGCAGGACTACGATCAAGTTTTTTTTCTGAAGTTTCACAATAAAAATTCTGTAAAATAATGGTGAGCATAAAGTTACTTTTGATGAGGTTACATAAATGTAATCCTTGAAGAAAAGTATTGGAGGATACAAAAGACCAGGATGGAGATTCACCTTCCACCAGGACAACTATCCTCAACATAAAGTTAAAAACTACAGAACTAGATAAGTTCCTCCGTAGATTATGAACCTATGAAGCCCATTAATGAGCTGGGGCTAAAACTGCAGCAAAAAAGATGGTTCTTTGCTTCAGGGGGGTTAAAATATACACACACCATACTTTTCAAATTTGTGTTAATAAAATGTTTTAAGAACCACCAGTGGATTCAGCGATGTACTACATCTGTTAAGTACTATGAGCAACAGTCAGTAACATCTTTTATAAAAGTCTGGAAGCAGTTGATCTTAATTTCAGCTTTATTTTACCTATACACAAGTGAATACATAAAAACAAATTATAAAGTATTTAACAACAAATATTTCCTTGAGATACTAAAAGAAAACCGCACCAGATGATCCCACTGCACTAAAAGAATCAGTTTGTGTGTGTTTTATTTAGGACCTGAATGCGTAATTGTATGTCAAGGTCCTCAAGTATATACAGTTCCCAACCCTGGCATACGCCCACTTCATTTCTTGCCCTTTCTGTATGGATGGCTATCACACCTCCGTCCGTCAAGTCTTCTCTTTCACACACACTTCCTGTCATTGTTTCCTTTCTCGTCCTCTTTCCCCTCTTCCTCTTTGTAATTATAATATGGCAGAAGCTGTGTCGCCTGTCAGCCAGCCATTGGCTGTTTGACATTGAGGGTGGCAAAAAGAAGAGGAGTCCCGTCTTGTCCATATACATCGCCTCATTCTTCTGCCTGGCGGCCCGACTGGTGGTGTTGTCGGCGGTGGCGGCTGTGCATCCGTGTCAGCACCTGCGCTGTATCCTTTCCTGTCCATCACTGTGCAGGTGAAGCAGATGATTGGATTCAGTCAGCGGGGTGATTAATGAGGGCCCCTCCGGATTTGGGACAGCCTATCAATCATGTCATTAGGGCCAATGTGCCCTGAAAGAGGCAGACCTCCGCCAAGGAATAACTGCATTCATCTTCATCTGTGTATGCATCCCGTCAGCCCAGCCAGGGTCACCATGATGGAGAACAATAATCTTCTCCTCTACAAATTACTTTGCAAAGACAACGTGGGTGGTGCAGTAAGTGGGAAGGGGGGATTACAGTGGGCAAAGGGAAAGAGGAAAGTGAGATGAGAAAAGGGGAAAGGGGCTTTTACAGGGGGCAAACGTCCGTTTATGGGGGTTTCAGTCCAAATATGATGCTAGCAGAAAAGGGGCTGCATCCTGTGGAGTTATTAAACACAACGGCTCGCTCTCTGCCTAACAGTGTTCTCTGATTGTTTACAAGTCAGGCGTCACTTTCCTGTGAAGGTTAGTTTAATGAATAGTAATGATCTCACTGAATGCCTCCGACAGGTGATACATAATCACTCTTCTTTCACTTTTACACTCATCCCCCCTCGCTCTGACGCTCTATGCTGCCCCATCTGTTCCCTCTCTTTTTTTCCTCCACCTCTCACCCCCTCTTCATCTTACTGTAACAGGAGGGCCTTTTACTAGGACCGCTTGCAGCCTTACTAAATGTTTTCATCTGTTCATTTACTCAAAGTTGTTATGCCACTAAATCGCCTTTTCATGAGGACAGATGCATCCCGAGCTTGTTATGATGAAGTGACCAGTCAGAGACCGTGTTTCTGGGAACGAGCTACAAAACGGAGAGCCAAAGGTCACCGATTGACCCAAAATGAAAGCTGGATTCCCATCATCCTACACTGGAGTTCTCGTAGGCCAAATGGTACGTCCACCACATCACTCAGCAAAGCAAACACATCTGAGATGCATTGATTTTACTCAAAGCTTTTAAATGACAAATTAGCCCGATGATGCAATTCATCAACCTTTGAATGCTCAATTAAAAGAAAAAGTAAATTTATTTTTTTCGTCTTTAATGTCAAGTCCCTAAAAACGTCATCAGTCAGATGGATCAGTTTGACCCTCCTAGTGTCAGCCCTCAGCCTCCATCTCAGTGATAATCAATCAAAACTCTTAGATCGGCAAACTTAATGTATAAAGAGGCTTTTCATTTTTTCTTTTACAAAAAGACCTTTAAATAAAATTCATAGCATAATTTTGTTATCGAAATAATCATTAGTACACATGTTATCATTAAAGTGCAATCAGTACTTCTCTGAAATCCTTTCAGATGGCCTCTCACCTCTCTGCACAGAGCCTTCGCGCTTTCTGCAGCTGCAGGTTTATCCACTTTGGTCTCTTTTCCTCCAAAGCCTGCAATACTTTGTGCACTGTAGGTTTAGGAATACCCTGTCAAAGATCATTCACACAAGTTGTATTAGTTGTAACAAATAAGCTTGAAGCAAAGTGCAAATAGATCAAATATGCATGAATAACTTATTGATCACAAGCAATATACATATAATTATGTCAAACAGCAGGTTCTGATTCTGCAGGTCTGACCTGCAGAATCAGTCAAAGGAAAACTGTTTGATTTTGATCTTCTATGAGTTAAAATCAAACTATTATTTTATTGACATAGATAAATCGTTTACCTTTTGTTGGATGCTCATTGTAGCTTGCAGGCACTCTCTGAACAGAGACAGGCAGTCTTTTGCAACACAGTCCAGATCCAGACCACTGGTCTGTTCAAGCACATCATGGTCCTCCAGACCCTGGATCAAACACCCCAGCAAGGCCCAGAGCAACAGGCCCATTGAACGCAGCTGCCGGGCATGCTGGGATAGGTACTTTTCTGCCATTTGAAAGAGGAAGCGGACAGAGAGAGGTAATGATGCTACGGCCGATGGCAGGTTGGTAAAAATGTAGGATAATGATTGGATTGCTAAGGATACGACAGCTGAAAGGAGAAAGACATAAAAAGAATATTAAAAAAGGATCGTTTTAGATTATTTCTCAATGTGACCCTGGCTTTGTTCCTACATTTAGACACAGCATCCTTCCCTCCTCCATCAGGTGCTTCATAGTTCCAGTCCTTGGGTATTTTAGCCAGGACACTCTCTGGCACCTTTCTTTTAAACAGGGGTGCTTTACATTCCTCTGCTCCCTGCCAAGTCAGCACCATGGAAACCAGATGTACCAATATGCTGTTGGTGGACTTTGTCACCAAATCTCGAACACAGTTAATAACCACAGGTGTCGCCTGTGTGACATCTGTTAAAAATACAGAAGCAAGGCAGCAAGTGAGAAAAGTGAAATCATATGCAACAAAACACCTAAGAAAGTAGACATTAGAAATCCAACTACAGATCTAGTTACTAAAAAGAAAATAACAAAAATATCACAATGTACAGGGTTAGTTATTTTTGAACAAAATAAAAAAAAAACTCAGTTTTGTTAATATTTTAACAGAAACTGGAGGGTCAGACAGGTGCATACAACTTATTCAATGGAAAAGCTTAAAAGCATAATTGCTAAGCAGGTTCTAGATGGTTTTTCTGATAAATTATGACAATTTATCTGATCAAGTCGTTGAGATCAGAAAACCTCCTTGCCATCACTCTAATCCTAGTCTAAACTACTTCCAACAGTTGTTAGATACAATGCAGGACAGATAGCAAGCCACTCCCAAATGTAAAATATTACTTTCAGTTTGTAGAAACATTTTAGTAAAAATAAATGAATACGTCAAACCTAAAAAGAGCTAATGGCTGCAGGTATAAATAAATATTTGCTGTTGTGTGTAGAATTAAGACTGAGTTGATGAGAGGAAATATGCAATATGTGTAATTTTGTGCTGCAAATTCTTTTTCTAAAAACTCTTGAAGTTGTATTTTACTTCATAGAAAAAAAAATTAGAGCATTTTCATTATTAAAAGCCCAAAATCATTGTATAAAAATAACCAGTAACTGTTGCCTGTAAACTTGTTTTTGCAACTGTCTTAACATATGTCATTGAAATAAATGACACGTGTACACTCGGTCACCAGGGAGGCATATTTTCAATTAAATCCTCACAATGCAGCAAGTAATTCTGTGTCAAAATAACTGGTCTTTTCAGATAAGATAAAAGCACATTTAATTCAAATATGCTGCATATTTCCTTAAACATAGAAAAAGGATTACTAAACAGCAAGCCGATGTTATTAATCAGATGTTCTTTACTGAACCCAGATGTTCCAATGGCAGCATTTTTTCTATCTTCACCAGGTGCAGCTTGGCTTATATCCCTTTCCCCTTTCATAACATGTTATTACTGATAACAGAGCTTCTAGAGAGGTTGCATGGCATCTATAAACTTCCCACAGCTCTGGCTGGAACACTACAAGCTACAAATTACAGTGTTGGCACAGGAGTATCTAGAAACACAGAGAAGATGGGTACACTCAGAGCCTCAGATAAAAAAAAATAAGAGAAGTGAAATGAAAAATTATATGACTCCTTGAAAGAAAAGAAGTCTCTGGCAACTGTAGTCTGAATCTACTCTTTAAAGTAACTTTATTTTCAGGCTTTAAAGTGAATTTTCTTTATCGACCTGTGTATTGATTTGAAACAACCTTTAAAGTCCTGTGTGGTAAAACATCAGAATAAAAGGGGAAACTGTCAAAACTCTCAGCGTGAACTATGAGAGTTAATTCAGCAAACAGTTTAAATAGAAATGGGGGCACTGGGGGTATCCTGTAACCAAAATTATAACATAAAGATTTGGAACAGTCCAATAATTAAACTAATTACCCTTTGAGGATAAGTGATGATTGGATGACATTGAGAACTTCTTTCTGGCACACTCTATCTCACTTTCGTTCATTTGCTTTTCGACCCCTCCCGTGCTTTGTCTCTATCCAAATACTCTTCTCCAGTCACCCTAATTTATGCTGCAATAATTACCACTCAGCCAGGATGTAAGAATCCCTCCTAAAATGAGCTCTCTTCACTACAGGAGTTCCGATTAAGCTCTGCTATAAAAGCTTGCATCTGAGGCAAGACAAAAGAATTCAGTTAAAAGTCGTATGATAGTAATACCTTTGATCATTTGCACTCAATGTCAACACTGTCCTTTAAAGAGTAAAACTAAAGAACTGTTGATAGGTTTACTTTAGAATCATTTTTGCTGTTTTCTTATAATGTAGTAGTGCGAAAAGTTTGGATGTCTCTTAGTTTTTCATGGACTAGTTTCTTAGAGATGCACTCATCAAGTGATTGGAATGGGATTTTTTTTTTTTTTTTGACCAGCCCCAACTGCTGATTGGCCAGTTGGTAACCATATCTCTAATGTGTATCCAATCTGTGAGTGCACCATGAATAACAACAATGGAATTGTGTTTTATCTGTATAGTTATGCTACTATAGGCTTAGACTGTTGGGGGACAAAGGAACCCCTTTTCATCATTCAGCTTCATTCTATCTCTATTCTCCCATTCTGCAGTATTGTTAGTTAAATCTCTAATTTTAAGCCTCTCTGCTTTTTCTCATCATATTAGCTTCATCTCATTGTATCTCTTCTTCTTTCTGTATATCTGCTTCTGTCTCCTTGAACCCCAGTTGTCCTTGGCAGATGGCGGCTCACACTGAGTCTCGTCCTGCTTGAGGTTTCTTCTTGTTAAAAAGGAGTTTTTCTCTCCACCGTCGCAACAAGCTTCCTTGGTGTGAGGGACTGTCTTCGAGTCAATTCAATCAGCTGGTTTTCCTTAGATAGAAAATTTTGAACCAACCTGACTGTATAATCTGGTTGAATAGTCTCTGTAAAGTGCCTTAAGATGATGTGTTGTGAATTGGTGTTATATACATAAACTGAATTGAATTGAATTGCACTTTCAAGAACACTCTTCTGTGAGGATGTTTTAGAAAAGACTCAGCAATTTTCAAAAGCAGGACCTCGTCTTCCGTCAGTTGTATATCAAAATTTTACATCTATGTATACAAATATGATTTAGACAACTTTTATTGTCATTTTGTATACACAGAGTGTATATAAATATATATATATATATATATATATATATATATATATACATATACATATATATACATATATATATATATATATACATATACATATATATACATGTGTCATCCTCAAGCTCGGGTCCTCTACCAGAGGCCTGGGAGTTTGAGGGTTCTGCGCAGTATCTTAGCTGTTCCTAGGACTGCGCTCTTCTGGACAGAGACCTCTGATGTTTTACCTGGAATCTGCTGTAGCCACTCTCCCAGTTTGGGGGTCACAGCCCCCAGTGCTCCATTTACCACTGGCACCACTGCTGCTCTTACTTTCCACATCTTTTCTAGCTCCTCCTTCAGTCCTTGGTATTTCTCAAGCTTCTCGTGTTCTTTCTTCTTGATGTTGCTGTCGCTTGGGATTGCCACATCTATCACTACTGCCTTCTTCTGCTGTTTGTTGATCAACACGATGTCTGGTTGGTTAGCCATCACCTGTTTGTCAGTCTGGATCTTGAAGTCCCATAGGATCTTAGCTCGGTCATTCTCAACTACCTTAGGAGGTGTCTTCCATTTTGACCTTGGGACTTCCAGCCCATACTCATGGCAGATGTTCCTGTACACTATGACAGCTACCTGGTTGTGGCGTTCCATGTATGCACTTCCTGCCTGCATTTTACACCCCGCTGTTATGTGCTGTATTGTTTCAGAGGCATCTTTGCACAGTCTGCATCGGGGGTCCTGCCTGGTGTGGTAGACCCTGGCCTGTATTGATCTTGTACTGAGTGCCTGTTCTTGTGCTGCCATGATTAGTGCCTCTGTGCTGTCCTTCAGTCCAGCCTTTTCCAGCCACTGGTAGGATTTTTTGATATCAGCCACTTCTTCTATTTGTCTGTGGTATACGCCGTGCAGCGGCTTGTCCCTCCATGATGGTTCTCCTTCCTCTTTCTTGTCCTCACTTTCGGTTTTCTCCTGCCTGAGGTACTCACCAAGCCATTTGTCTTTGGGGGCCATCTTTCTGATGTACTCCTGGATCTTAGTTGTTTCATCCTGGACAGTGGTCTTGACACTCACTGACTCAAGTCCCATAGGATCTTAGCTCGGTCATTCTCAACTACTACTACACATACATATATATATATATATATATATATATATATATATATATATATATATATATATATATATATATATATATATATATATATATATATATATATATATATATATATATATATATATATATATATATATATACATACATATATACATACACACTAAAACAAATTCCAATGAGGGTCTTATGAAAATGACACTTTCATCTAATTTACAACAGACACAAATACGTATTGTGCCTTTTAAGGACAAAAGAGCACATATCTCTATAATATTATCCCACACTCCCCTGAACATGTGTCTTACAGTTTGATATTAAAGATCACAGGTGTCAGTAACTATTTGTACAGTTTTTTTTTTGCTGCTCTGAACATGTTTGCTTTTCACAATCGTGTCTATTGCACAGCTGTTCACATTGTCCTGTTACCTGGCTTCTGTTTGCCTTTTTCTATTTCACCAAAATATTTCCCAGTCTTAGAGGTACCTATTTTTCTTCTTGTGTACGTCTTCACTTTCAAACATTTATCTTTTCATATTATTTATGTCTTCTTTGCATGTTTTTATGTCCTGTCTGATTGTTTTACAACTGTCATGTTGTCAATGTTCTCACTTTGGTAAATAAAAAAAAAGACATTTTGTATCTTAATTAAAATTTAACTATGCAATGTATGTTTAATTTATATAGTTTTTTTTTTATGTTTGTATTAGATATGACATGTTGCTTGTATCCAAGATCTCTACCTTTTAGACCAATGATCAAATTGGATTTTATTTGAATTTTAAAGGTTAATTTAATGTGACTGTTTTAGTAATTCCTCCTTTGATGCCAGGACACTAATTTGATTGATTTACATTTACAAAAATAAACAAAAAGATACATAAATATGTAGGAATCAATTTCATGGGCTTTGCTAGACCTTTAATATAAAATTCACCTTTAAACATAATGTGCTTTTTTAAAAAGTGGGCTGCTCTAGTGGCCTTTATTTAAATGTCTTTCTGAAAGGAAATGGGGCTGATAGAGAGAAGGAAAACATGCAGTGAAGATCCGAAGGCCGGAACTGGAATCCAGGTCAGCTACCTTGAGGACTGAGACTACTGGTGCACCCACATATGCAATAGTTGACCCCAATACAGTACTTAAGAACCTGAATGTTTGAAGGAAAGATATATTACCACTGTTTTTTAACCAAGCTATTTTACCTGCCAGTGTGTAGAAATATTTCCAAATGTGTGCTCCCTCCAGGTATGGCTGGAGAGCCTGAGTCAAGGCTTTGGGAACATTATTGAGGCAGGAGAAGAAGTTGAACAAAGCAACTATGAAGTCATCTCCTGCTTTGCAATTCCCCGTGGACATCTCTGAGTCAGATTCCTGGCAAAAATCTGAAAAAACAAAAACAGCACAAGTAAACCTGATCACACACGTCTGCAACAAATCATAAATGTGTGGATATTGAAACGGACTTTGAGCTGATGAGATGCTGAAATTCTGGAGAACTTTACAAATAATAAAATCCACATAAAACATACACATAAACACCCAAACAGTAGACCATGCTGAGTTGTTTAAATTTTCATTCAACAAAATATCGAATCTATGCAGGTATGCCTAGAAGGACAGAGAGAGAAACATAAAGCTTCTTAATTTCTTTGAACAAAACGCCATCATCCACTAGGAAAATGTCAAGGCAGCCTTGCCTGACACATGTTAACAGAAAGAGTGTACAAAACACAGTGTGGGGTATGTTGGGGGAGGGGGGGGGGGGGGGGGGGGGGGCACATCTGTGTTAGATAGAAAAAAATGAAAAAGAAACAGATTTCAAAGCCCCTGGCTGTGGGATCCATGGAACATGGAGACAGGAAGTGAAAAGGAAGAGGTTTTGACAGGGTGTCCTTGTGGGGGTTGCTGTCTGAGCTGGCTGAAGATGGAGGTGCGTGTGACTGTAAAACCCATATGGATGTCTATAAATGTGATTTGTGTGTTTCTGAGTGTGTGTGTGTGTGTTAGGTTGACAGGGAATGCTGAGGAAAGGCCCGCTGCTTCAGAGGTGGCAGACATCTAGCGGTCTGTCAGTCTGTAGTGTGGGAGATGACTACTATTTGTAGGAGACTATATGCAAGGCAGCAATCAATGACGGTGCACTGAGCAGTAATGGAGGGCCAAGGCTGGACTCTTTTAAAATGACATGGCAGAATTAGAAGCTGCACTGCAGCGACAGATCAGCCACCTGCATATTTAGGTATGAAGCACTGATATCACTTAAAGCCTACATGAAAACTGATTTGCACACTGAAGTTCCTGCTCCTTTACAATCATCTCACTAACATGAACCCCAGGATATTGTAAAGAGACTCTGCACATTATGCAGCATTATGTGGATCAGACAGGCATCTTGTTCGCTGCCCGTCTGGTAATTGGTCCTTAAGGGGAGCGTGTTATGGATATCACTACTATGACTGCAGTGGGCCAAAGAAACAGGGTTGACTAACATTAATTTCCACTCTGAGTGCTGGAGAGCAAGGTAGGTTAACTAGGTGCCTTTTTAATAATGTTCCCATTATGAAGCAGCAGATGACTTCAGAAAAACAGATGTCAGTGTGCTGGCACATCTCTGTGGAGTTTCCACAACTCCTCTAGCACACAATAACTCCAGTGTCTTTTGTTTTGTTTTTTTTTGTTTTTTTTAGCTGATTTCTCGCCCCCCCTTCTCTTCCCCCTTATCCTTTCTGTCTCTGTGCTTATTCATCCTTGATATGTAGCCAACAGAGGCACCTGTTTATCTTCCGGACAACCAGTCAAGCAGTCACAAGGGTCCTTTCCAGAAACCGCTGTAATTGGAAGCAGGCACACAATGGATAATAAAAAAGACTGTGCGTTTGTGTTTACCTGATGCAGTGTGACTCTCAGTTTTGAGAAGCTGTTAAATTGTAAAAGTACTGAGAGAGCCCCTTCACATCTGGCACAAATAACTACACTCACTGATCTGATTGTGTCCAGACAGCTCCACATACAGGTGTGAACTCACTTAAGCCTTCAATCTACCCTTGAACACACTGAGGAAACACACACTGATCTGTTGTGACTCCTTCAACCACATTGTAAAAATAAATGCTATATTTCTAGGCTGACCATCTCTGGAGAGATCAGAAAAGGGCCCTGCACAGAAGTCTCCCATCCATCCCGATGGACCTTGAAATTTAACTAACGCAAGGAAGAATGGGTTAAACTGCCAAAAATGGGTGTGCAAAGCCGGTGGCATCATATTGAAAAAGACTTAAGGCTGTAAATGCCACCAAAAGTGGATCAACAAAGGATTAAGCAAAGGCTTATTGACATAAATATTCAGTTTTCTTTAATGTTCTTAATCTAATCGAAAAAGCATTTTCCACATTGTCATAATGAGGTATTGTGTGTAGAACTTTGAATAAAAAGATTAAATTAGTACTATTTGGAATAACTCTAAAACATAACGAAATGAAGCATTTCAGTAATCCACATCGCTCATTTGTTGCATAACAATGTAATGCCCTTTTGGTTCAGGTCAGAAGAAGCATCTAGTCTTGGTTTGCAGCCAGATTTCCTTTGACAATACAGGTTAGAGCCCTGTGCTCACCAACTGTACAGCCGACAGATTGTTTTCCCACCCTCATGCTGCCTCCTGACATAACAGCACCCAGAACCTGAGATGATTTTGGCGATATCAAAAACTGCAACTGATTGCTACCTCTTAAACAAAGCAATAAGTTACTAAATAATGAAAAAAAAAAGGCAACCACATTTTAAACATTAGTTCCAGTAGCAGCAGATTTTTAACAATAAGCTGAACTGAAACAGTTTCAGGTAAAGGCTACAGCAACATTTAAGTGTTTTTTTTGTAATCATTAGTGAAATGCCCAAAACATATGGAAAAGCGCAGTGTCTTATTGCGGTGATGACATTCCAGTCAAGCTGTTCCCTCTGTCTGTCTGTGTCCTGGTTAATTATCCCGTCACCCCAGATAACAGGCGAGAGTCAGCGCTTCCAGTGTTGATTTACGGCGGCGTGCCGGTAGACGCATCTCGGAGCCTCTGAGTCAGGCTCAGACCAAGCGAGAGAACAAGACAGAGAGAGTTGTTATTAATGAGGTCGCTATAATGTGAATTAATGTGCGAGTGCACAACAGTCTTTAAAGGTTAGACTGTTGCCATGTGGAGGAGAAAAGAGGGAAGGGAACAAAAATCTTTAAAGGTCAGAGTATGTGCTCTGCCTGGGCCAGCGGAGTGTTTATCACTGTGCTCTATTGATTTAGTAATGATGATGACCAAGGTGAAAATGATGATGATAGCAAAGATGCTGATGATAACTTCATAAAATAAATGGGGTTCATCTACAGTACAGTCTATATAACTAGCTTAAGATATTAGAGCACCATAATTAGAATTTGAATAAACACTTCCCACATATGTCCCCTGTGGTATCCGTTTTGTCAATCACACTGATATAAAGCAGGAGAGATCAAAGAATAAAAGCTTTTTGTTTTGTTTTATTATTTTCCTAAAGATAGAGGCTTAGTATGAACAGCACAGAAAACAGCAGCCCTCTCAAGTTGGTTTCAAGCCAATTCGAACAGAAATAAAAGACTCACAGGAATTTTCCAGGAGTACTCTGGGCAGGTGACAATCTTCATGAAGCAGCATTCGCAGCAGCAGCTTGGGGCTGCATCCTGGGTCAGAGGTCGAAAGCTTTAACAGGCATGCCAAGGCTGTCTCACCCACAAGGCCATCTCTTAGAGATAGGAGAGATAAAGGGAAAAAGTTGACAGTTCTGCAGTGTCAGGTGAGTATTCAGATTGAAATGCTATTAGCTAGAGACCATATAAAAGATGAAGGTTCATGAGATGAAAAAAAAACAAGCAAAGACAGAAATCCTGAAACACCGACTGGGAGAATAAACAGCTGGAAAATGACAAAATAGTCATTCTTTTCAGTGCTCTTCTTTGCAAATGTAAACTAGTCAAAAAATGTACTCGCTTGAGATTGCTTATAGCGTGCACAAAAAGGAATTAGTTCTAATCTTGTCCAGCTAAAAGCAAATTAACATTTGGGGGACAGCCAAAGACATGAATATACAGCAATACCCCCCTCCTCTATCTTTTGTAAAACCAAGAGGCTGCAGCCAGCTGTGAGTAATGAGCCATATCCTCGGTGTGTGCGAAAGGTTTCAGTGTGCTCAGAGTCTTTGCCTGTTGTTCTGTGTGCGCGCAAGTATGAGAGCATGCTGACATGTGTGCCTGCATGTTACTTTATACATCTCAATAAAATCTAATGGAAAGAGTGGACATAGTTGGCCTTAAGAGCAAAGAGGCGGGTGGCGGCGCATTGAGGGGGTGTCTGCCCAGAAATTAGCCGTTCCATCTGAGCCGAAAGGCTGGAGAAGTGAGCACCCTGCTGCTTGACTGAAGAAAACTATGCCTCGGTCTGACAGCACAATTTATGATGTCACTGGGGCTGCATATCCATAAGTAGTCCTCATTTAAGTGCTCTGATAAATCTACAGGGCAGGGTCAGCTTACGGAGTCCGAACACAGAAATGTAAACACGCACAGGCACACAGACAGGATAAGTCAGAGTAGTGCAGAAAAAAAGACACACAACTGAACTTATTTCGTGATTGAAACTTTTTATTTAATTCATGTCAGTGCTTAAAAGGACTGAGGAAAGATTTGGCAGTTAGGATCTAGATGTGGACCTATGATTCTGGCTATGGGCCATCTGTAAGGCTTCTGGCTTCCTCCCATCAAAGCAGTAGGTGGGACTAAAGAAATAAAGAGGCCATAAAAACAAAATAACTTCAGATCCACAATACTTAAGTGGGGATTTGTTTGATTTGTGTTCCGCCAGCATCCACTGACATCACCTCTGGCTACAGGAGAGGCGAGAGCGGTGGAGGGTGGAGATAAATGTGTGCGAGAGTGATTGACTGCACAGCTTACAACAGCAGTCGGACACAAACCTAGACAAATAATGCACCTGTGCAGCTTGTTGATGTCTCTCATGTAAAGATCCCATTACCAACAATGTTACGACTGTGTCAGAGGCGATGTTAGTTTCATCTGCATTATTTCAGTGCAGCAAGTCGGACTTGAAACCCGAGCAGCAGCTAAAGGTGCATCGCAAAGGTATTAATAAATTAATAATATTAATAAAAGTATTAATAACTTATAACTAATTCAAATTTTGTTTGAATTTTATGAGCAATGCTAACAAAAATATACCTTATTTGTTACTAATAAAAATTGTCGCATGCAATTCTGCCCTCCATATCTGCTTAGTAAAGCATTTAGATCTGCAACACCTGTGGAGTAGATCTCAAAGGATTTGTTCACCTTCAGACAGTAATTTCTTTCCCCATTCTTATATCCACAATACCTAAATCTCAATAACTTGAATAGAGAGTGTCTAGTAAAAACAATTTCCAAGTCTTGGCACAGATTCTCAATTTAACATAGCTCTAAGATTTAACTAGACCGTTCAAACACTTCCTCAATCTAACAGCTTTGTCGTAGCCCTGGGTGAGTGCTTCTGCCTAAAGGTTATCGCACCAGTCAAACGCCATATCCATATTCGACTGGGATCACTTCCAAGATGCTCCTGCAATCACCTCCATTCATCTTCCTTTAACTCTTTCCGGTTGAGGAAAAAAAAATCTTTCACCTTGCACTTGTGTGCTACTAGTGTGGGTTTGCGACAGATTTTGCGACAGATTTTGAGTAAAATAAACTAGAGTTTTTGGCTGTAATGTTCCATCTGTCCAAATACCATTAAGCGCATTAACAGGGCCTATAGAAGAATGTGTAATAGAAGGCCTCATGGGGGTTATTTCCATACCTTATGATCTGTTCGGTGAAGAGGTCAGGGTTGATAGCATTGAGCCATCGTACAACAGGCCTTCCAGGCTGGCATGGTGCTGAGTCCTTGGAAGCACCCTTCATAAACGTTCTACAGAAATTAAAATTAAACAGACAAATTACAGCTTTGAAAAACACTTAAAGCTACAGTGTGTAATTTTCAGCAACATCTAACGTCCAGACTGCAGACCGCAGCAACATGAACATCTCCCCCCCACAGCTTCTCCCCCCCAACAGTACGGCGAGCGTTACGGGACAAAATGTCTTCCACGACGTCCGCATCACCTACCTTCTCAAGTAATGAGGTTTGTTTACATAGATAATTTTACAGATAGTATTTCATTAGTCTGTGTGTTCAGTACCGTCTCAGTTCATTTCTCTCAACTTGCCGTAGTTACTTTCGAGCGTAATGGGCGATCTCGCAATCGATAGTTTGTTGGCTCTGCGCTGCCGTAGCGCAAAGATGTCTGCCTCCATGGCTGCTAGACCCGCTCCTATGTAATTATAAATAACGAATTCTAAGGCAACGCAAATATTAAGGTTAAGAGGCTGAGTTCGTAGATGATGATAAATAACATAGTTATGTATAATATATTACATTTCTGACTGTATATCCCTGTAATTATTACACACTGTAGCTTTAAATATGTCTATTTATTGGAAGTCAAAAAGCTTTGCTAATGACAGCCTTCATCCCCAGTCCAATATCTATGGGATTAGGTTTACAGACTTTGGTTCCTTTCACTTAGATTTCACAGACCTAATGTTAACATAGTACTAACCTATGCACAAAGGTTATTGGTGCTGTAACAACTAGGAGGACAGTCAGTAGTTGGTCACACAGGCTGTGGATTTGGTACGGCCAGTCTGAGCCACCTCCAATGATGGTCATTTCTGAAGAAGCGTTGATAAGAATAATGTCTTCTGGATTCTTGGCAACACTCCACAAGAGGTGCTCCACATAGAGCAACACTGCTGTAATATCACACCTTAAAGCAGAGAGGCAGAGATGGTGAATGCAAGCATAACAACAGATCAACTCATACATAAGATGGAATATATGAAGGAAAAAAATACATTTTCTTACATCACTGCAAAAACAATCCAGAAATAAGTAAAAAATTGCTTAAATTAAGTATATTTAGCCTTAATTTGAGCAGGTAAATAAGATGATTTGCCAATGGAATGAGTATTTTCACTCTTAAAATAAGATAGTTAGATAATATTTACTTGAAATAAGAAGATAAAATTGTTTTTTTCTTATTTTAAAAGGAAATTGTCTTGTTCCATTGGCAAAGTGTCTTACTTACCTCCTCAAATCAAGGAAAAACACACTTATTTTAAGAAAAAATAACTTATTGAGATTTCTATTTTTTGCAGTGATGACACTAGTTCAATGTGAAATAATAGAATCACATTTTCTTTTGCTCTTGTAAAGTGAGTAGATGCTGAAATTTCTACTGAATGAAGAATGTTACATCTTTCTAGTGTACATAGTTAAAAATTACAGTAACTGTCCCTTAAATGGTGAGAGATTCTGTCCACCATCTGTTATCTTTTTTTAGAAGAATGCAATGCTGATACGGATTGATCAAACTAACCATGAGTGTTTTAGGCATGCCAGACCAGGAGACGCAGCAAAATATCTCTGTTTAGTTGTACCTCACACCTTCCAACTGTCCTGAATATTTCCACAAAACATAAACCAGACCTCCTGTCAGTAATCTGCTGAATTTAACATTGATCCAGCATTTTTATTGTAGTGAATATTTTCTCATATTTTTCTTACTTTACGTTGCATCCTTTGAGCTATATACATCTGCAAAATAAACAACGAACATTTACCAAAGGTACCAACAATGCACTTTGGACAACACCTCAATCTCACACTTTAGGGTGTAAACCAGTCAGACAATACATCTGCTCAACTTTTGGCTTCTTCATTTTAGTAAAATTCTGATTTGTTGGTCCCATGTCTAAAGACAAAAGCTGGTCCAAGACCATATTACAAGAACTTCTTTTCAATAGCCTTTTTTAGATGTTATCTTACATAATTGTCTCCACATTTGCTTTTGACACTCAGTTAAACAGAAACCAAACCCCATTATTTATGAGAACTGGAGGTAGGAGGCAGTGAGGAAGTGTTAGAAGGTTATGAAAGATATTTCCATTAAGAGAACCTGCTAAAAAAAAAAAAAAAAAAAACATATGGCAAAGTAAAACATCAACTTCACTTACATTTCTTATTTTTGCTTTTTATACTGTCTTACTTTTATTACTATCAGTTACTCTGACCAGGAATATTTTAATTCCTTTTTCCAAACTTGTTTCATACAGGAATATTAGTGCTGAAAATTATTGTCAGCTTCACTGCAAACAGCATCTATTCCTCCATCCATCCATCCATCCATCCTCTCCTGCTTATTCCATAAGGGTCATGCTGGGGCCTTTGCTTATCTAATGCAGGCTTTGAGCAAAAGGCAGGGTACACCCTTGACAGGTTGCCAGTCTGTTGCAGGACAACAACCATACAGTACACACAGACCCTCACACCTAGGGGCAATTTAGAGATGCAAATTAAACTAAGTCATGTTTTTGGACTCTTGGAAGAAGCCATAGTACCCAAAGTGAACACATATATGCACTGGAAGAGCATGCAAAGTCCAAGCAGAGGGTCAGGAATCAAACCCAGAACCTTTTTGCTGCATGGCAAAGGGGCTGCCTAATGCACCACTCCGCAGCCAACTGCAAAGCAGCAGTGTGGTTCAAATGTGATGATGGTTCATTAAATAGCTTTTGCATAACCTGCTGTGATTCTGTTGAGACTGGAGTGCTTTAACAAAAGGCGCTGGTATGTTTTGGACAAGACATTAGCTTTAGTCCTGGGAGCAGCTAATCAAGGTTTACCCAATAAGATAAATCAAGAGAAGAATCTACTGCTAAATAAATTTCATACATTTAGATGAACTCAAGTCTGCAGATTCTGCTACCCACTGGAATTTGTACATAATTTAAGAATCTACCCATTTAAATTCAACACACGCTTCAATGCAGTGCCTCTATTTCTGTTGTTGTTTACTGGTTGTTTTGTTATATTGTTAATATCTTTTGCGGGCTTATTAATAGTTTTGAAATACCTAATCTGTAGGTGTCTCTTGTAGGAAGCCCTGACCCTGGCATATCGTTGCACCAACAACTGCAAAGTCTCTGTGAGCACAAATCCAAGCACATCCTTGGCCAACTCCGATGGAAGGACTGCCCAAAGGTCGCTACGAAGTCCACACAGGAAGTAAAACCACATCTGCAGTGAGAAGGAACACCGATCTCCCTGGAAAGGAGGAGGCATATGGGAGGGAGGGGGTTGGAGATTAATATATGTTATGATGTTGACACTGAGGCTGAAAGAGAAATACAGAAAAGATAAATATACAGTAGCAGAGAAACTGAAGGCAGGAAAGGGAAAAAAATTGGTCTGCCATCATAAGGATGTCTTAGCTGCCATGCTACCTGAACTCTGAACCTGGTTTTCTACCCCCACTGGGAATATAGGCTGCTTTAAAGTCATGATCACATTGAAAACCCAACACTTACACTCCTGTTTGCATATATGCTCAAACTTACAGAAATATTGAGGGAGATTAGATCAATAAAAACTGTTAAAGAAAAAAACATGTATGAGAATGGAAAGAAAGGCAAATAAGGACTGGGCAAGATTACTACTCAGGTATGCTGCAGCTTTGTCATAAATGTATTAAAAGATTCTTTCAGCTTTTTACTTATGCTCCCAAAAGCTCAGCATACTGTATTTACCCTCCAGCAATAAACTGATGATGAATGTGGCAGGGCTACTGAGTCATCCAAAACTCCCCAACTACCTCCTGTCTACATATCAATGGCCACTGAAGTCCTTCACAATTCCTTAAATTCTATCTCATCTTCGTATTTCTCTATCTGTATTTTTCTCCTTGTCATTTCAGTATCGATCGTGGCATTGAGGGTATAGTTTTCTAACTGACAGCCATGATGAAACGCAACCCCATGGAAATTTCTACAGTAATTTCCTGAAAAGGTTTTATACAGGACTGTCTCAGAAAATTTGAATATTGTGATAAAGTTTTTTATTTTCTGTAATGCAATTAAACATCATGAAATGTCATACATTCTGGATTCACTACAAATCAACTGAAATATCGCAAGCCTTTTATTGTTTTAATAACTGATTATGGCGTACAGCTGAAGAAAACTCAAAAATCCTATCTCAAAATATTAGAATATTTCCTCAGACCAAGTAAAAAAAAAATTATAACAGCAAAACAAAATCAAACATTTGAAAATGTCCATTAATGCACTCAGTAGTTGGTTGGGAATCCTTTTGCACAGATTACTGCATCAATGCGGCATGGCATGGAGGCAATCAGCCTGTGGCATTGCTGAGGTGTTATGGATGCTCAGGATGCTTCAATAGCAGCCTTTAGCTCATTTGCATCGTTGGGTCTGGTGTCTGTCAGGTTCTTCTTCACAATACCCAACAGATTCTCTATGGGGTTCAGGTCAGGGGAATTGGCAGGCCAATCAAGGACAGTAATGCCATGGCCAGTACACCAGTTACTGGTGGTTTTGGCACTGTGGGCAGGTGCCAGATCATGCTGGAAAATGAAATCATCATCTCCATAGAGCTTTTCAGCAGATGGAAGCATGTAGTGCTCTAAAATCTCTTGGTACACAGCTGCATTTACTCTGGACTTGATGAAACCCAGTGGACCAACACCAGCAGCTGACATGGCTCCCCAAACCATCGCCCACTGTGGGAACTTCACTCTGGATTTCAAGCAACTTGGATTTTGCGCCTCTCCAGCCTTTCTCCAGACTCTGGCGCCTTGACTACCAAATGACAAACAAAACTGCAACTGTCCAGTGCTTCTTTTCCATAGCCCAAGTCAGACGCTTCTTCCGTTGTCTTGAGTTCAGAAGTGGCGTGACCATGGGAATACGGCTATTGTAGCCCATTTCCCGGGCACGTCTGTGAACAGTGGCTTTTGATACCTGGACTCCAGCTTCAGTCCACTGTCTTTGAAGCTCCCCCACATTCTGGAAGTGGCTCTTGTTCACAATGCTGTTAACGCTGCGGTCGCCTCTCTTGGTTGTGCAGCGTTTCCTGCCACATTTCCCCCTTCCAAAACACTTTTTGTGAATGTGCTTTGAAACTGCACTCGGTGAACAGCCTACTCTTTGAGAAATGTATTTTTGTGTCTTACCCTCCTGATGGAGGGTGTCAATGATGGTCTTCTGGACAACAGTCAGATCAGCAGTCTTCCCCATACTTGTGATTTAGTTTACTGAACCAAGCTGAGTGTTTTTCAAGGTTCAGGAAACTCTTGCAGGTGTTTCGAGTTAGACGATTCAAGTGATTAGTTGAATAGCCTACTAGTATACTTTTTCACGATATTCTAATATTTTGAGATAGGATTTTTGAGTTTTCTTCAGCTGTAAACAATAAACAATCAACAATAAAAGGCTTGCGATATTTCAGTTGATTTGTAATGAATCCAGAATGTATGACATTTCATGATGTTTGATTGCATTACAGAAAATAAAGAACTTTATCACAATATTCTAATTTTCTGAGACAGTCCTGTATATCCCTCCAAAAAATCTGGATCTGGAATATTTTAAGGTTTAAAATCAAAAAGCAAATTAAAATCAATGCAAAATATAATGATTTTAACAGACGCCTTTCCTAAATGTGAAGAAAGCAGATCTGCAGTTATTTTCAGGGCTGAGCGAGTTTTCCATGCTATTACCTTTCTGCTGACGGTGTCCTTAAAACACAACATATAAAGGATTTTACAAATTATGTTGGAAACCATAGTTAAAGTAAATAAAACACAGCCATAACAAAGGATGCTGCATGTTTTATAAATGGTGAGGCCAGTGAAAGGGGATTCTAAGACAGGTTCTTGTGGAATTTGCTGGAGTTATTTTTAAATTTGATTGGAGGGGATTACGATGTAAAGCAAACTGAAGTGAATCGCAAACAAATGGCAGCTGAAAATCTGTGCCATCTGTTCTGCATTTTCGCTTAAAAGCATCCTAGTTGGTTCTTGAGGAGTTGGTCATTTGAGATAGGCTTGGAGTAGAGCCGCTTCTCCTCCACATCGAGAGGAGTCAGCTCAGACATTTTTTTCAGATTTTTTTTTTTCCCAGGAGTTGATCCAGTCTCGTCCCACCATGAGGAGGCCCGGGGATGATCCAGGACACACTGGAGGACCCGTATCTATCGACTGGCCTGGGACAGCCTCGGGCTTGGAGGTGTCTTGGGAGAGAGAATTCTGGGACACAACCCGGTCATGGACAAAGTTGAATACAACAACGACAACGTTGCATCCAGGAATGGAGTAGACGGTCCACATTGCTGAAATAATATCTCATGTTTGAATTACCTCCAACTCTTTCGATTATCTGTGTGTTAGTGCATAAGTATGTATAGCTATGTATTTGTTACCTTGTGGAGAAAGTGGCCCGTTTCAGAGAAATGCTACTATGTAGGGACCGACATTTGTGTGGACAACCTCCAACCCAAGATGAGTATCGGGTTGGAGGTTAGTTTAAGCGTAGGTATGTGTTCGTAATGGGTAAACTTCGGGTAAGGTTATGAGTTAGGCCATAGAAACAAATGTAAAAATGAATGGAAGCCCAGGCAAACCTAATTGTTTGTGCTGAACTAAGTGTGTTTATGTTGAATATTTCCACTCTATTTCTAACTATTGAGTTTGGCTGTGTTAAATAAATGCAGCAATATACTGGAATTTCAGAGAATGAAGTTGCAGCATCTAAGACATGTGTTTTGCTATAAATACAGCTTCTTTTTATTTGTAACTCACTTTTTAAGTTAAGGGGGTAGTTGGCCTAGTGATTACAGCAGTGGGCTTGTTCTCTGAGAAGTTTGCAAGTATCCAGTTCCATCCCCGCAGCCTCCACTCTAGGTTCCTAAGCAAAACCATACAATAAGGGGATTTAAAATAAAGGGACAATATAAATAAAGGGACAATAAAGGGATTTACTTTTTTCTGTTTACCATTAATTGATAACTATGCAGTACTCTTTTATTTTATTTTTCCTCTCTGAAGGGTATCTCTTTATTTCTTCTACTGTACAGCTACATTTTAAAATTAATAATCTTTTTTCACGTTTTTTATTTTGTTTGACAACTTTGCTTTTGCCAATATTACACCCAAATATCAAATGTCATGTCAAATGTCATTATGGCATAATAAATGCATTTCTATTTTCTGCTTTTCAATAGTAATTATGGTGCTGGTTAAGTGTGTGCTTGTCTTTCCTACCTAAAGTGAAGGTTATGTTGTTTAGAAAATGTTTGACACATAATGTGAAAAAGACAAACAAAAGGACAAACAAATAATATAAGAATTATAACTATCTGGGTATTACAAGTGTAATGATTCTATTAACAACGTGTAACATGGTTTGCTGATGAATGAGCATACCACCCTGAGCTACTTACCAAAAGATGGTGTTAACTTCTTGGCTTTTGCAAACCCACAGTGAACAGAGCAGGCTACAGCAGAGCTGCACACTTACATACATATGAAGACCTAATTTTAAAACATGTCCTGTGATCTAAAGAAAATAATGGAAATTTTTTGTGCATAAGGACTGCTGTAACATTTTTGAGAAAAAAATGGAGAGATTTATTATATGCCAGGAATGAACATCCAAGTTGTAAATTAAGCAGGTGGTGGCATCATGTGGCGAGGCTACCTTGCTGTATTTAGGCAAAAAAAAAAATATATAAAAACTGAAGACCTGAAAAGGTGTGTAAGGGCTAAGAGGCCAGCAAACCTGACTCAGTTATACCAGTTCTCCCAAAAGGAATTGCTTGCAATCCCCGCACCCAGGAAAAAACAAACAATCAACTGAAACCTATCTGGTTGTCTTCTGCATTTGATCAAATTGAAGTTAGGTTTCATTGTACAACACACAAATTACAGAGAAGAAAAAAGAAAATCCTATTTCCATCATAACTGAATGTGGGTTTGGGAGCTGAGAATAAAATACACTGGAAATTCAAAAGGTTCACCTCTTTATTGTTGAATTAAATCACTATTTGGCTCCAAAAGCTCCACATACAAAACCCCGTCATTAAGGTAGAAGCCAAGGCCATATCCCCCTCTCTTTTTGACCCACTTAAGTGACCTCACACATATGCTGCAGTTTTAGAGTCATATATTAAAATGTTTTATGCCATTAACAATTCACATGACAGTGTGAGTGTATTGGAATAGAAATAAAAATGGAGGCTTGAGACAAGTTTCTCTCAGGCACGAGGAGCCATAGACAAAAGAGACTGTTGCAGACCCTTTTACATACATTCATCCATACATATGGAGTTGGGGGTGGTTAAACACCTGCACACAGCAGGCCTGTCTGACACCAGTGACCCGTAGAAGGAGGAAGGAACAAAGGGGAGGGAATCCGGATAGAGCAAGAAGGAGAGGCAAGGTTTAGATTGGTTTGAGGCATAAAGGCACTGGAGTTCCAGAGGCCCTCTGCTGTTTCCAGACAGTCCCAGTGTAGAGTGCAGACTTCAGACAGCCAAATCCCTGGAGCCCCCAGGGCAGCATGGAAGCCACAGATGTTCATAGGAAGCTCAGAGTATAACGCTCAGATAGAAGGAAAGTGGGAGGTAAAGGTGCGTTAGGGGAATGAAAGGAAGAAACAGGAAGGCTCTGGAGGATAATTCATAGTTACTAATATCTGCAGAACAGGCACACGGAGAGACATCTAGATATTTACTAATCATACACCTAATGAGGTGCATGTGATTTGGATTCTAAGACAGGGATTAGTTTTGAATGAAGTGCAACATTTTGTATCAGGGTCTTCCTCAATTTTAAGGTTAATCAAGATAAACAGATGGTAAATCAATGTAAGATTCACCTCATAGAAGGGTTTAGGGTCAGCCCAGTCATGACTCTCTGCATCCTGAAGAATACAGGTGAGGCAAACCTGGATGCAGTAGCTGGTCAGCTGCTCTCTTAAGGCCTCCACTGTTTCATGGTACCTCTGGATTGGGAGCAGAGTCAGCGGTCTTAAAAAAAGAAAAAAAAAAGTAACAGTGTATGCTTTATAATGTACAAAGGACATTTGGAAAACAAGCTTATTTATTATTCAGTGATTTGGTATAATGAATAAAATCTCAAATGACAAGATGGCTTAAAAAAACAAAACAATTGTTTCATCCTATACGTTCACAGTGAGATTGATATTTTCCTAAAAATACACTGACAGAGTGATAAGGGGCCTAAAAGGCTAAAGACAGAGAAACACTCATGATGAAATATGGCAGAGGGCAACAGAGAGGACTTTGGAGGGAATCTATAGAGACCACAAGAGACATGAGACACTACAGAAGCTCCCACACAGTTTAAAGAGTCATTGCCAACCAGCGCTAACTAAGCATGCTTACAGGTACAAGTAGGCTTAACATTTTCTTTATGACTTTCAATTTAGTAGGGTTTTTGTTTAAGATGACTTCTCTGGTGCCATTATAGAGCTCTTTAGTTGGATGACATGAACTGTAAACCTGTGCTGTAAGCTGAGCTACATTTTGCAGAAAAGAGACGCAATATTTTCTCACAAAGAAGAGAGCTTGTTCACTACTGTATTTGGGTTTGAAAACTCAAGTCATTCTCTCATTTGTTTAAACTTTATAGAATTCAGAGTTTGATGTGTGAAACATCAAAATGTACCTATTATTTTAAGATTTTTTCCTGGAGCTGTTTCTATGGTCACCATGTGGGAGCCCTCTGCAGGCTGGGACTGACATTCCCTGTTGCAGGTGATGCAGAGTCAAGTGCTATAATAATATTTGAACTCTGTACCTTATGACACTTATTAGAGTTGCTTATCAATGCAGTGTCAATTATTGAAGTAGCATCAAAGATTTTTGTCTTTGACCTATGACAGGTGACCTTTTCTTCAGCTAACAGAATCGTGAATTACTAAAAGGGAAAACTAGACTTACAGTGGGTACGGTAAGTATTCACACCCCGTTACATTTTTCACTCTTTGTTTCAATGCAGCCATTTGCTAAAATCAGTAAAGTTAATTTTATTTCTCCTTGATGTACGCTAGGCAGCCCAATCTTGACAGAAAAAAACAGAAATGTAGAAATGTATGCGAATTAAGAAATAAAAACTGAAAAATCAAATAGTGATAAGTATTCAGACCCTTTGCTGTGACACTCAAGTTTTACTCACATGCTGTCCATTTCTTATGATCCTCCTTGAGATGGTCCTGCTCCATCATTGGAGTCCAGCTGTGGTCAATTAAACTGATTGGACCTGATTAGGAAAGGCACACACCTGTCTATATAAGACCTTAAAGCTCACAGTTTATGTCAGAGCAAACGAGAATCATGAACTGCCCAAAGAGCTCAGAGACACAATTGTGTCAATGCACAGATCTGGACAAGCTTACAATAGAATTTCTGCAGCATTCAAGGTTCCTAAGAGCACAGTGGCCTCTATAATCCTTAAATGGAAGAAGTTTGGGATGACCTGAACTCTTCCTAGGCCTGGTCGTTCAGTCAAACTGAGCAATCGTGGGAAAAGAGCCTTGGTGAGAGAGGTAAAGAAGGGATTTAAAGGGGTCTGAATACTTTCCATACCTTCTGTATAAGATAGAATTAACATGTAGTCCAAATTAGCAGACTTTTAAAATTGCAGACTCTACACACAAAAAAACATGAATAAAAATATATATTGGCACGATCATTTTCATAAGGGTTGGACAATCACAAGACTTAATATGGTACATTTTAAGCTCCTTTCTGAAAGATTCTGGTCAGATGTTTCAAAAATATTCCAATTTGGAGACTTTCTATTTATAGGGATAAATGGGAACTACATGCAAATCTGGAGTGATTTAAATAAAATATATATTAAAAATAAACATTTTTGCTTTATAATTAGCAGACATTGATAGGGTTTTTTTAGGGTTTATATTAATAAAAAACATCTGATATTTATCTAATGCTGTAAACAAAAATGTTTCACTCTTTTGAATCCACATGTACGATCGTGTGTCTTTAATACTCTTGTGCTCTGGAAAGAATTTGCAGGGTTTTGGAAACGACCTGCAATATAATAGAGAAAGGCATAGTGCATATGGCGGATGTGGCCTAAATACCCCAGCAGCAAGCAATATGCTTTGTACATGTAATTGATAAATAACATAGATGTTGTGAGTGTATTTAAGTGAAATGTGAAAATTTAAAGCTGTGAAGGAAAAACTCAGCAGTAATTTAAATTTAAAGCTAATTCCCATTTATTTTAAGAAATTCCCATTGATTCATAGCGAATGCATCTTTCTGGAATCTTGCAATGAGAAGTAATGAGACAAACCATAGCAGTTTATTTCTAACTGTTAATAGACTCTTATGAGCACCCCTGCTTCTTACATTCTAGCTGAAGCTGTACTGGAATCCTTCAGCTTGACATTGTAATGCTCCAGACGCTGTTGCACATAAATGCAGGAAGCAAGCAGAGCAGGCAAGTTCTTCAGGGGTGCAGAGGACGGTACCTCCAGGGCCCTCTCCTGCAAACGTCCCAGCATGGCAAACGCTGCTCTGCTACATGCTTCCACAAAGCTTGATCGCACCCCCAGGAGAGAGGTGTCCCTGCAGGCTACTGCCAGTGGCAGTAAGGCATCGAGCTCAGTCAGAATTGCTCCACAGAACTTTGGAGATAAAAAAGAAAAAGAAGAGACAAAATCAAAACCTTAAGTAACATTCTATAGAACGGAGGGAAAAAAAAAACAAAAAAAAATCTGCAATACCATTTATTATATGGCAAAGAAAGAAAAACTTTACTGGGGTAATTTGAATCCTTAATAGGTTTGGGACTAAGATTACTTAAAATGTAGATTTTTCTTCAGCAAAACACTGAACACTGCAAATGCAGAATGCAGCATTTTAAAGACATAAAAATAAATCAGTATGTCAATCTTACTCCAAAAGGAAACGGATCACGGATCACGGATGACAAAAATACCTATTATAGTTACAGGTTATCCCCCATGGATTATTTTAAAAACACTTCTTGTGAAATCAACAATTTTCCTTCACTGGTTTGAAGCTAGGCTGATTTCAATCTTCACAATACGCAAATTTGTAACCTTTAAAGGGCTAAAATAGTTTAACTCTCAATTCTAGTGTTTCTATCCACATGGATGAGCCAATGTGCATAAATTATGCTGTATTTTTCTTATTTCAGCAAAGGTATTTACCAAACACTTGTACATGGCATTTGTTTATCTTCATCCACAGATCAATCTGTCTGTCAGGGTCTGTCTGTCTGTCTGGTGTCTGTTAGTTTACCTGCACAGAATACACGTCGCAATAACAGCAGAGAGTTTTATGAGCTCATTTTATTTCTATCTAGCCACAAAAACGTGGTGCTTGAGCAGAGGTAAGGTCAACTGAGAAATCCTGTAAAAGGGATACTGTTAAATCCTTGGAAAAAAAATAAATTACAGAATAAATCAATCACTCAACTAGTAGCAGCATGCATTGCTTTCTCCCTCAGCTACAGTGCCTTGACTTATTCCAGGAAATAGCTGCAGCTTGGCATGCTGCCATATCAGAAGCACAGAATATATGAATACTTTGCAACCTCTCAGTCTTTTCAATGAAATTTCAGAAGAATCTCTTTTACAGAAAACACGACACGTTTAGAAATACTCAGCAAAAACAAAAATGTTAATCGAAGTACTGGAATCCAATAAGGGCTACTCCGGCAAGATGAAACCAACGCTAACTGTTCAAATGCTTGTTAGGGTCTGTTTGGGCTCTCAGCAGGTTGAAGGAAACACAGACACCTGAGGTGAAAGAACAGAAGGTGCAGAGGTGCACAAATTGGAGATAATTAAAGTATATCAGCAGATTAAATAGGGAAGTTATTTTTGTATCAATTTGTCTGATAATAAAGCAACTGTACATTCAACATAAAAACTGTCAGTTTTATTGCCAAAGAATATTATCACAGCTTGTTTATTAACATTAAGGTGAGTCTACAAGGAAACGTTGAGCACTGAGGTGTGAAAATATGAATAAGAAAACTGCAAGATATTGATCCAGAATAATTTCTTCTCCAAGCATTGCCTTTTTATGTATCTTCTAGTTCTAGTTTATTGGATGCAAATGCATGCAAGTATAACCTTTGGGCTGGAAGGCTCTCATCTTTGAAGCGTTGACCTACAAATAAATATGTTGTACAGGTCCTGAGCACGGACAAATTCTGACACTGGCTAGGAATCAGGAGACACTACTACACACAATGCAGAAGGATTTAGGAGGACAAAGGTGAAATGTGTGAAAGTGTAGATGTGTGTTTTTGGTAGCAGAGGAACGTAAGTCAGAGAAACTTTAAAGAAGTTTTAGGCTGCGCTTCCTGTTTTGAAACAGGGAAGATGAAGGGAGGCTAAACCAGTAGTTGGGGTAAGCATGTGGCTGTATAGCCCCAAACACTAGAGATTTTTGGTGGTGTTACTTCTTAAGCCCAGTTTCACATCAATCTCCTGTGTCTGTTACACCCCTTCTTACCTTTCCCAGGCCCTCTCTTCTCATCCTTTCCTCCTTGTATCACTCCTGTATCCTTGCTAATGCTATAGCCCCTTCCCCTTTTGTGATATGCCCTTCTATCATTAGTACACCCTCAGTTTCCCCACACATCATCTAACCCCATAATATCAACCAATTCTTGGTTTTTCCCTGTCTTCCTTTTGTTCCTGGAATCCTCCCCTCCAGTAATACTGATCACTTCTCCCCAGGCCCTTTCTGATCCAGGGCGTCGTCTGTGTCAGGCCCAAACTATTGGAGCTTTCTATTATAGTGGGAGCTTTCTACGGGAGCTACAAAAAGCATTAATCTATCTAGTTCTGGCTGCTGTGTGTAAACCCGTATTGTTCAGTCAGATAGCATTAAAGAAGGATGAAGGGAACAGAGCCTCCTCAGAGAGGCTTTATCCTGAGGTTACTTGTGCACAGCATTAAGTCTTAACCTAGACCTTGGTGCGATTTTCTGTTGAGCAAATCTGACAAGCAAAAACTAGATTTTGTAGAGACAGCCTGATTTAACCAATTACTTGCAAGAAAAATTATCTATAGTCATTTTCTATGAATGGGAGAGGAGACCTCAAATAACCGAACCATGTTCTTACAGAAAAAAAATGCAAAGATCAATATGTTTTTAGATGTATGAAATATGTAATATTAGCTAATTCGAATAATTTATAATTCAGTTTTATATATAAACCAACAGAGTAGATTAAAATGGAAAAACAAAAGGATGAGCAGCACAAAAAAAGTTCTATAAATCAAAAAATACATTTCAATTGCTCCAGCAGAAAGTAATGAAACGTGCAAAAGAATGGTTTTATTAGAAATAAAAAATGTGTAACACCTCTGGAAGAATACCTTTGCTATCATTTTAGGAGAGTCTCTTTCTGAGACTTTGTAGAAGAAGTCTTTTTTTAAATGTTCGTTGCTAACGGAGAAGTCATTGATGAGGCTTAGCTTGATTGAGGTGTGTCCTGAAGAATGTAAGGCCTCTTCTTGTTGAAGATTTTTGGCACAGATGTCGTCCAACACCACTTTAACACAATGCTCCATGTGTGGGACCAGCCTAGTAAAAGCTGACCTCCAGTCAAACTCCAAAGTCTGTGTCTGAAAAGCAGGAAACAAGCCAACAGGAAGCGAAATAATAAAATAGTTGGAATGTAGGAGAAATCTGAAGTGACAAACACATGCAAAAGTCTGACCTCTGCAGTAGGAAGTTTGCCTGAAGTGGGTTTCCTTCCATCTGCAGGTGAACATGAATCCTCATTAGGCTTTTTCAAAATACCTGAATCAAAAAAAGTTAATAAAATAAAGTATTTCACATAAAATACACCTTTCTTTTATCAAGCCATTGAATTATATCTGTGAAGCTTTCTAAACCTCCAATATGAGGAATATCCTCATAATTCTCTTGAAAAGGTTCATTATACTTCTTGGACTAAAGATTTGGTGACTTTACAGCCACATGTATTGTTTATTCTCTTTAATCTGTCTTTTACCTGTGAACTTTGGTTTATTCTACAGTATACTGTAAAACAGAGATTACCAAAAATTTCAGATTCTGAAACGTAAAATTGTACCAGAATCAACTCATGAACCAAACTATTGGTTAAATATACTAACATTTAAAAATATAAATTAACAATTGTTTTATAATAAAACATACAGAACCATCATCCAAAGTAGTCCCCCCCCCCCCCCCCCCCCCCCCCCCCATTTTGCAGTAGGATTTTAAATTTTAGCTTTTATATTTTAAGCCAGGGTTTGGGAACAAATAAGAAACAATAAAGATTGTGACAGACACCTGATTAATATTAATAGAAAACAAATGTAATTCAATTTTCAACAATTTCACTGAGTGTAGATCCCTAACCAGGTGGTATTCTGGGGGAATATAGGAAAATATATAGGAAAATATTTATATCTCAACATCTCAGACTCAAAATAAGCAAGGTTTGCAGTAGGGCTGACCTGTTTCTAAAGGTTAAAAATGATGTTGGAAGTGTTAATTCAACAATTTTAAAGCATCATCAATCTTGTTCTACACCAGCTCGAGTTAAAATAACGCTTTTAAAGGGTTAACAGTTAGCACTGTGAAAGAGGTGGAAAATGCCCAATAGTATTGATTCAATACTTATTGAGGTTGAATTTAGCTTAGTGTGTCAAAAGTTAACACCACACACTAATGTCAATACTTATCAAGATTTAGGGATAAAAACAGCTGAGTATCATCAACATAGCAGTGGTAATTAAACCTGTCCTATTTGACACATTGTAGCCACAGCTTCCCTGGGGCATACTGTAACAATCATGGCTGCTTGAAAACAGACGCTATGGTTCCTCAGAACACCATAAACACTTCACCAATACCAGATAAGCTGAGTTCACAGATTGGCATTCTGGGGGGCATTCTGCTATTTGTTTATTTTAAAAGCAATTCTTAACAGAATTGTTTGAATTCAACTCTTTGAATTAACACCAACTTTTTGGAGGAACTAACTCTTGAAAAGTTTAATGTGACTAATGAGTTGAATTAACACCTTACTTTGAACATACAACATCAACACTGACCATTTTACATAAATTTGACTTAACTTTATATGGCTAGGGTTACAGTGTTAATTTGGGCTTTTTTTCTTCCTTGGTCTTATTTCAAATACCTAAAAAAAAGACTAATAAATAATTATCTATATTGACTGATAGGAAAGAAGTATTGTAATACATTGTAAGCCATATCACACAGCCCTGATTTAAACTCTTATATATAAATGTAATCTTTTATTTTTTATTTTTCATGTCACTCCCTTGTCTTAGTTTGCACATTAGGTTACTTCTAAACACAGTTAGTTTCAAGGTTACTTCTAAACACAGTTAGTGTTAATAGCTCTTAGTGGGAATCAATGTTACAATTGCAAAATACTAGTCCATGCTACATTTTTCAGGTATCTCCAAAACTACCCGATAAATAGAAAATATAATTTTATGCCTTTTAAAACTGCAGTTACTTTTCAAAGAAAAAATGATGAAGTTCCAAAGGTGTGAAGACCTTCAGAGGGACGCTATTGTTCTCCAGAGAGAGTATCACCCAAATGGATTCTTACAATTTTTTTCAACCACTTATTGTTGGGAAACTATATAAAACATTGGTGCCAATCCTTTACTTTTTTATTGATCATCTTTGTAAAGCCTTAAGTTGCTGTTGGGCGTGTGGTTATACTGGATTTCTAAAGCAACAGGTGCAAGAGAAAGAATAAATGTGACTGACAACCCCAGGGCAATGCTCCCTGGTTGCTATGTATTTATATTTACAGCCATAACATTCAGAAAGCACATTGAGTTGAGCCCTACTGGTAAAAAAGTGGATTCATTTTACAAACTCTTATCCAGCTTTACTCATTCAAAATTGTGGGATTTATTACAGAAGCCAAAGATATACTGCTGTTGATGTGAAACATTGAATGTTAAGCTGTGAATTTCAGTTTCAGGGGTTCTTAGTGATAAATAAATGTGAAGCCAGCTAGTGGCTACCTGAGAAACTGCCTATTTTAGCTCCACTAAGCTGACTTTTTTTTTTTTTCTGTTTGCCCTGAAGGCTGCTCTACTGAGTTTATGACTACCTTTGCCTTAGAGGAAGCTTATAGAAATGTCTTTAGAAGTTCAAATCTGAATTTGGATAGGATTTAACCCCAAATCGCTGCAACAAAGGAAAGGGTAATTCCATGAGAGCTGATTGTGTGGATTTGTATAAAGATGGTAGCTTGTAGAGGAGCTGCGGTGAATAAAAGTGAATAAGATGCTGATTTGGGTTTCAATTAAAAAGCATGAACATCAAGGCCATAGTTTCTTAATCAGAAAGCGAAGTGTAAGACCCCAGGCGAGGCAATTTAGCCGAACAAGAAGGCATGCAGTAGAAAAAGAAGGAAGCGGCAGGCACATCACTTTTTGACCTTTAAGCTCATCTGATGAATTTCTGGTAATTAAGCTGTTTGATTGCCTGGAATTAATGATTTGGATAACTGCCCTTTAAAGGCTGTTTACCTCTCTGTAAATTGAGCCTTTCCGCAAGTCTTGTTTTTGTAAATGTAACCTTTATGGAAATTACTCTACGCACCAAAAACTTTCATTTAACATCTCTGCAGTGGTGGTTCAAAGGGGAAAGAGGAAGAAGCTACTAAAGGCTCATGTAAGACCTTAGATAATACCAAACTAATAAATGCTTCTTTTTCAAACTTTAGGGTAGAAATAGCAAAGAACCATTTGTGTGTGTGTCTAGGGGTGGGGTGGGGGGTGTGGTATGCATAAGTCAATGTGTGTACTTGCATGCATACCATTAGTTTTTTGCATCTTTTTTTACCAAAATATTTCAAATCCTTTCACAAATCGATATTGGATTAAAGGAAGTTCTAATACAAAGATATGGTTCTCTCTCAACCCATTTATTGTCATTTTGACTGCATGTTTAGGCCCATCCTCCCGTTGGCATGGGAAACACCAGCTCTTAGTCAAGACTTTTGCAGGCTCTAACAGCTTTTACCCTATATTTAAGGCCATTTATCTTCTGATCATTCATGACTAGCTTCCCTGTCCCTGAAGGAAAATAACCCCGCAACATGATGCTGCCACCACCGTGTTTCCCCTCTGGGTTGGCATTTCAAGGGTGTTACACACTGACTATGTGTATTACTTATTTGATTGATGAAGGCATTTGATTGTGATGCATTATATTTAAGGCTATCAGGATAAAGAGGGCCAAATATGAATGCTTGACTCAGTGTTAAAATGTTACTCAGGTCATCCGGATCCAGCCTTTTATCAGTTCACAGAGTCAGAACCAGACATGGAGGGGCTGCGTTCAGCTTCTATGCTCCACATGTCTGAAACAAACTCCCAGAAAGTCTCAGATTAGCTGAAACACTTAGTTTATTTAAATCCAGGCTGAAGACCCACCTGTTCTCAGCTACATTTACAGTACGTAGATTCTATTCAAAAGCTAAAATTCGCACGTCTCTGTATTCTCTCTTTTTAATCTTAAATGTTTTTAATTTTGAATCACGCTTTTAATTGTTTTTAATTGTTTTCTCTCCCTTTTGCTTATAATGTTTTATGTAAAGCACTTTGAATTGTTCTGTACATGAAATGTGCTATACAAATAAACTTGCCTTGCCTTGCCTTGCCTACTAGTACAGAACTTTGGAAACATTCATTACTAATAATAATTGAACTTTAATGATATCACACTGGAGAAATTCACCTCTGCGTTTAACCAAACCTTTGGGGATGGGTTAAATGTGCGGCGCCCTGGGAGCAGTGTGGGGTCTTGCTCTGGGACCCACAGTGGAGTCTGTGGGAATCAAACCGGGTACTTGCAACCTTCTCAGAGCAAAAGCGCACTGCTTTAACCACTAGGCTATCACGTCCCCACCGCAGTTCACATTCACAATACTCGACAATTTTTGCCGGTCTATTATGTGACATCAAGTAAAATACATTTAGATTTAAAGCTGCTATGTGACAAAAGGTATAAAAAGTTCAAGAGTGATAAATTCTACAACTTAGTTGCACCTTTTACAGTAGGAGAGTCTCCAGTGCAGTTTATGAAGATGATGTCAGCGACCAGCTCCCTCACTTCTCTCTCAAAGCCTAGCAGGACTGAAGCCAGCTGGGTTAATGCCCTCAGCTGGTGGGAGGTCAAGCTGAAGCTCCTGCTTTTCATGGGAAGCTCCATCGGCGCTGGAAAGGGAATGAAAAGAAATGAGATTGCAGATGTGCTGCAGACATAGAAATGCAGTTTCATTTTCACAAAGGAAAAAAACATTTTCATACGAATTTGTTTTCCACACAATGTCCTTTGCCAACAGGCACTCGTAAAAAAACACCCCCCACCAGAATTCTCAGCGCATGTGACACAGCTTCTAAATATCGACCCATTCATGTTTTCTCCATACACACTGTAAACAAAGCATGCAGAAAGGAAATTATGCAAAACTTTGCTCCCTGAGAAGTCACACTCGCACAACCTTCCTTCCTAACACAAAACTTTTTTTTCCTTCTCCTAACCCGCCGATGACCCCCTCGGCAAATATGGATTTCCCATTTTGGAGGCTGCCAAAGCCATCACCCGGGGGATGTTCCGCATTAAGCCGGAGAATGGGCGGCTGGGAGATGTGTTGCCATACGCTGAGACACATGCACAAATACTTTTGTGAGTCCGCCTAAATGAGCTCCGCAACTGCAAAGGCATTTGGGAAAGGATGAGCTCAGTATTAGCCTTGACTCTGAAAGCATAGAGTTGATTGAGCGCTGAGATGGAAAGAAGAGGGGAGGGGGGGGGGTTACTTTTTTCCAATAACGGTGACATTATTGCCTTTGGATCTTAATGTAATTTTGCTGTATTGTTAAACAAAACCTGACAATATGACAGCAACATTCTCCCCAAGGATGTCTGGGTTAATCATGCATGAGGTTTTATTCAGTGTTGTGTCTGGGAACTTGTGTATGTTTTTTATGAGTATTAATGAGTGTGAGTCAGTGAGTTATGTGTGTTTATTTCTTGGGACTTGCACAAATGCATGTTTATGTGCATGTGACTTGGGTCAATGTGCAACACTTGATTTGTAGATGAGATTTGCACGTGTCAGTCTTGTGGGGAAATTGTGCACATTGCAACCAGCCTTTCTGGTCATCATTAAATGGATTCTAACCAAAAGATTGTTAATGAATGTATCAAGATGTAGTTGAGTGCAAGTACGCACAGATGCATGCACGAAAGTGCAGGTGCATGGCTGTGTAATTATATGGGGTGTGTTTGGATGTGTGTGCTTGTATTTGTGTTTGCATGTAATTAAGCTCCACGGGCCTCCAGTTTCTCTGTAATGGGTTCCAGTGGGAGTCTGGGCTAGAGAGACTACCTCCTGCTGCATGTGTGCATGCGTGACCTGGTTGACACCCGGGTGCCAGCCTCGTTCCAAGACTCACGCTTTGCACATACGCACCACCAAGCCTGTCTATTTCTGAAGTCGCCGTCACATCAACAGCTTCTGATGCTCAACGCAGGGGAAAAGTGAAACTGCAGAAGATTCAAGGGAAAACTTATCAACCCGACAGAAGGGGACACATTTGGGAGATACAGCCGGTGGATTCTGTAAAAGCTATCTCTACAGCCCTCTTGCCCCCAATCTCCACCTTTTCCGGGGGTGTTCATCTGAGCACAGCAACTATTACCTTGCACTTCATCTGGAGCATCACCTTTTCCTGGCCTCCCTCTTCTCTCACCATCCATTCTATTCATTCCATCAACCTGTGACCCTACGACAGTTTCACTTCTTCACTAAGTCAATTCTAAATAGTGGCACATGACCTTGGTGTTTAGCAGTGCTGGTCATTGTCTTTCATTGAGGCTCTTTCCAAACAAGCTATATAGGTATTTATAGTCGCCTCCCTAGCCAAATAGGCCTATAGCCATAGAAGTGTAGTACATAGCCATCTAAACCCTATTATACCTTTGTCACAACAGTGAGACCAAATGGAAGCTCCCATAGTCACTTGATGGAGAGGGTGTGCTTAAAAGCACCCAGGTGTGTCATACAGCAAAGTACATCACACGTTTCAGAGCAGAACGAGGAGGGGGCACTGGGAGGGGGAAGAGTTCAACTGAAGGTCAATGGACTGAGAATCAATAAGGGAGGAGCTGTTACCAAGAGCGGGGCAAAAAATCTGTTTATACAAGAGATCTTCTAAACATTATACATTAAAGATATTACAACATTATAGAGGGATACAGAATGAAATACAGAGGGCTGTGTTGCTGTGATTGCTAAGAAATAATAAGACACAGACAACATAAGGAATTGTCTCAATGTGGGTGTTGCATGGAACAATCAACAAATAGCTAATGGATGAAAAGAAATAAGCTTTAAAGGTGGCCAAGTATAAATTTTAGTTTGCACATTTTAATAATAGCAACAGCATTAAATAAAATAAAATTGCCTGTACTTTTGGCAAGCAATCTGTCATTTTTCCTGTCCTGTGGGTTCCACCAGCAAGACAACCACGCAGGAAATCGAGAGAAAAGGGAAAGGAGGAGATCCAGGTGAGAAGAAAAAAGAAAAAGAAAGGGGGTGGTGGTGGCGGCGGTGGTGGTTAGGGATGAAAACATGGGGAAGCGAAGGAGGGGCGGGATAAGGGAATTCCCTTAGCAGTTGTTATTGATTCCGGTGTTTACGGGCGAATAGTTTAGTGCCGTTTACAAAACAGAACAGATGCAGCCAGTGAGCAAAAAGGTAAACAATTGCTGTGTGGCGGGCTGCCAAATCCCCAGTCTGATGTATTAAACTCACGGTGAAGAGCATTTCCCCTTTGGCTGCACTTATTGCCACTTCATTTCCTCTTTGCTTGCATACACACACTCTCTCCTCCTTGCTATCGCTCCTCTTCTCCGCATCGTTCTTTCTTTCTTTCGCATGCTGGTTTAAAGGAGGAATAAAATACAAAAGGAACAAGTATGTTGGATGCTTTTTGCCGTCTGGCTATTTTTCTGTTGTATTCCGACCCAGGAGGCCTGGTACTTCCTAACAGAGCGATTAGTAGGGGGAATTGCATGTGTCTGACATGGCCGAAAACCAATTATTAGACACTTTCTAGCAAATCATGCCCAACTCTTTGGGGAATGAGCAATCATGCAATAATTTAGCCAGTGATTTAATTTCTCTCCAGCTTGACTTGTCTCACACTCTCATCCACTGGCCCTCATTTTACCCCTTTCTTCTGGTATTTTTTTCCTCAGCAGCATAAATGTGAACATCTAAAGGGTTGTTTTCATCTTCCCGTGTAATTGTCCCAACCGGACAACAATATTTTGTCATGATGTGATAACTTGATAAGATTTTTCACCATCAGGCACAACTTCCTCAGCAAATGATGTCAGCAAATTAGCACCATTTTCATTACCTGTGGCAATAGATCACAGTGCTGTACATATAGCAGAAAATCTGTCAGTGTAATTTCTTAATCTGAACACTCCTTATGTGTAAATCAATATCTGATCATTATCATAAATTAGATTGATCAAATTATATTGCACAGAGAACTTGGGACATTTTGAATAGTCATTATGAACAGTATTTAAATTGAATTCAACACCTTCTGTGTTCAAACAAAAGGAATAAAGGCAGCCACTATGTGCTAGCTCTCTGCTATAACTATAAATACTTATAATTATCTTAATATTTTAAGTGATGGTCCATTTACAATTGTCCTGTTGTCAAAGAAACTTTAACAGATTGACAATTGTTTTGGTTCTAATCGTAAGAGCATCTGTCCCTTTCACACTAATGATTGAAATTAAGCCCTGATCTGCTATGCTCTACATACTCGCCTACTCTTCTATCAAATGCCACTGTTTGATATTTTTACTTAAACTTTGCTTTGAAGCATTAAAATCCTTTAAAGGGTTTTGAAGTGAAAAAAATATTACATATGGTTTAATTGTCTTTTTAAGAATCAGAAACATGTGGCATGCGTTTGCTTAAGCAAACTAAATTATTGCTGTTTTTCTTTATGAAAGCCTTTTTTATGTCATTATTCCACAAAGGAATTCTACATGAAGGAAATAATAAAAGCAAATCATTAGTTAATGATGGGGTGCTTTATCCACTGTGCCTGCTCTTTGGTGGTCAGTTGGTGGTAAGTCAGCCACTCAGTCTGAGGCAGCTGTGGCTTCAATGTAGCATCCTACCATCAACATGTTTGTGTCGTGTAAATCATTTTTGCACTACTACAGGCCAATTACATTTAATCAAATACATGATTTCCTGTCTTGCTTTGTCCTTGTTTGGAGTGTCTTTGGTCTTTGTGTGATTTTTTTTGTTCACTATTGTTTCTTAAGAGGCCTTCACAGGACAGTTCTATTTATCAATTATACAAAGGTGGACTTCAGTAATTAAGTAACTTCTGGATGCAATCAGTTTGCACTTATTTGTTTAGAAATCTTAGAATACCAGCTAAAAGTAAATGCATGTTACATTTTAAGATTTTTTTTTAATGTTTAAAAAGGATTAAATAAATACAGTTATGCTGGTCTACAACAGTATTGACTAGAATTAATAGAAGCTTATGATTGTATGATCCGATGGCATGGACATTTATTTAGGTAGGGGTATCTGTTTTAAATTGTGCAGAACAAGAAAATACATCACACTTTCCACGTATGCATTTCAAAATCTGTGAATCCTTTTTCTTCTGCATTGTGATCATGCACTGCTTTGTGTTGGTGTGCTGCTCAAATGTCAGTAAAATATCCTGAGGTATGTAGATGTGATGTGACTAAATGTGCACAATATTCAAGGGGCAGTGTATTGGCAAACTTATTGGGATTCAAAGACTGGCAGTTGCAAAATTTAAGAAAACATTTCATGAACTTGCACTTGAACACCCAGTTTTTGAGTGTTAAAACTACTTTCCTTGTAATATTTTTACCTCCTGCCCATTAGAATAGGGGGCTTCTAATGAGCCTTGTTCTGTTAGAAAAGCCACCCGTTAAAGGTAGTTGTTCCACCTCACTGTCATCCTGTACTTTGTCATTACGAGGTGGGTATTAAAGTGCAGATTTGATTAAATCTGCCGATTTATTTGTTTAAAATCTTTTTACAAATGAATGTTTACGGGATTGAATCAAACTGGACTAAGGGGATACTAAAGGATTGGTATAAACTGGAAGTGTTTTGGTTTGTAAG